TTGCCAGGCTGGGATACTTCCTGTGGACCTGGATAGGCACTTTGGATCCTTACGGAGCAACGTTTCTGGGATGGCACAGAAACTCCTGATTGATTCCCAGTGACTGGGGTGTGGGGCTGCAGCAAAGATGATTAGCAGCTGAGAATAAGAGGGATTCTCGTGTTCTTGTGTGCACAGCCCATTTCATAGAAAGTGTCTCAGTCTGGACAAGCAGGGATTTCCACGATGCCCTATGCTACAAAAGGAAAAACAAATCTTTACAGAGGTAATTTCCTTCCCCATGCTCTGCCCCCTTAGGGTGCATGTGAGCAGAGGACAGTAAGGAGTCAGGTCAAAGAGAAGGGAAGGGTTTTGAAAGCTGGAGATTAAAGAGACGGAGGGATGGGGTGAATGAAGTAAACCAGAGAACAGTGCTAGGAAAACAAAACCCAGTGGTGGGTGCAGAAATGAAATGACATGAGTTCACATGTATAATTGATATCACATTTCTTACTTTCTCAGTGGTTGAGGGAAGGGGTGGGTGTAAGGGAGAGGCTTTGGAACTCAAAATTAAAAAAAAAAAGAATGTTAAAAATAAATACATAATACAATTTTAAAAAGGAAATAAGACGCTAAACACCAGGCATGTCTCTGCTTTGAGTGCTTTGAGGGCTCTGAGCTCTCTGAATAATAATAAAATAATAACGAGTGTTTGTAGCACTTTAAAGTTGATGAGGGACTTTACAAAGATTTTGTCCTTGAGTTAAACCCTGGGATATTATTCCCCATTTTACAGATGAGGAAACTGAGGCAGCTAGAAGGGACGTGATTTGCCGATGATCACACAGCTAGTTAAGTTATGTGAGGCCAAATTTGAACTCCGGTCTTACTGACTCTAGGCCCAGCACTCTATCTGCTGTGCCATCTGGACACCAAAATCAAAAATCATATCAAGACACTATTGGGAGGGGCAGCTAGGTGGCACGGTGGATAGAGCATTGGCCTGAGGTCAGGAGGACCAGAGTTCAAATCTGGCCTCAGACACATAACACTTACTAGCTGTGTGACTCTGGGCAAGTCACTTAAACCCAATTGCCAAAAAAAAAAAAGACACTAACTGGGGGCTCCTTCAGCTAGGGCCTCCCTGTAGCCCAGAGAGCCTGGGCAAAATCAGTAAGGACAGCTTTGGGTTCCAGCGGCCTCAGTCCTTATCTCCAGGAGTTCAGGGCCCCAAACGCTTTGAGTAACCTGGGAAAGAGGCCTCTTGCAACACCGGGTTTTTAGAAGTAAGCCGGGAGCCTTGAGGTCACAGATGAGCACAGCTCAGAGCTGACAGTGATCCAAGACAGAACACTTGCTGCCTCCCTTTCTCCCGGGCTGACGAGCAAACGACCTTGCTGCGGCCCGTGGACCGTGACCCGGCTTGGAGGAGAGAGAAGGCTGGGCAGAGGTTCTGAAAGGTGACTGAGGCTAATTCCCCTAGCTGAGATAACTGTTGAGTTTCTCCGCTGAGCTTAGCCGGTACAGAGGCTTCCAGACCCCTTCAAGAAGGATGTTCAATAAAACCTGAGAGTCTCAGCAGGACAGATATATAGGGGGGATTGTGTGGGTGTGTCTGATGACTTTTAAAAAAAGCCATTGATATGAATGTCAGATCACCTCACCCAAATACAGCACTTTGCAAGTAAACTGAGTCCTGTCAACCTCAGACCTCCAAACTTCTGAAGCCCCAACCTGTGGAGATGATCTTCATTCTTCTCTGGCTCCTCCACCCTCCCCGTTTCCTTATTTCTTCTTTTCCCTCCCACACACAGGAAGTTCAGCCCCAGAGGCTTCAGGGGCCTCTCCTCTTGGTTATCCTGCTCCTTTCCGAAATCCCAGCCCACCTGGAAATGATTTCCTAGACAGGGTTTCTGAGGGGTCTCCATGGTGATGCTTTATACTGTGGTCTCCATGGCAACACTTTAGGTCTCCATGGAGACCCAAGTGATTTTTCTTTTTTTTCAAGAGACCCTTAAATAAATAAATCACCCTGTGATAATACATCCTACAGCCACTTAGCTTCCTTGGTCTCATATTCAGGAGGCTGGACTGGAGCTGGACTGCTCTCCCTTTGGGAGGGAGAGGTAGGTCGAGTGGTAATTTTAGTTTTGCTACGTCAGTGTAGTTGTATAAGGTCTCTTGAGGCCTTGTTTTGGGCAAAGTCAGAATCGGGTCTTTTTTACTGTCCCAACTTGAGATTTCTTTGGTATAGGGAACTCCCATCAAGGAAACCTCTTCTGTGGATGCAGAACAGCAGCTGTTTTGAAATTTATATCTTTAGTTGCTTGGAAGAGTGATGGCTTTGCGATTTGCCCAGGGTCATACAGCCAGTATGAGTCAGAGGTATAATGTGAACTCAGGTCTTCCTGGGTTCCTGACTCCAAGGCTGGCCCTCTAACCACCAAACTTACTTTTTTTTATGAAGGGGAAGGGTTTGGGGAGAAAGTGTGCAACTGGAAATGGAAGAACTGGAAGAAATCCGATGCACCGTAGTCCTGGATTTGAACCCTGAAGACCTGGATTTAAGCTGTCCTGCCACTTACTAACTTGGACAAATCATCGAATTCACGTGGGCCTCAAGCTTCTCTGCAAAATTCGGGACAGAAGGCCTCTGAGCTCTAATATTCTGTGATCTCGGGTTACCTTGTAGGTGTAGCAGAAATGGCAGGACCTTGGGATGCTGCAAAACCCAACCCTCTCACTTCACAGATGAGAAAACTGAGGCTCAGGGGATAGCCTCTCCCACAACAGGTCAAACCAGGCCGCACAATGAGTTAGGGGCAGGGCTGGGGACAAGTGCAACTCTTTCCACTACATTATTAAATACTCACAACGCTCTATGAAGCCAAAGGCACACTGCGCTGGGTATGAAAGCCCATTAAGGAACTTAGAGCTTTGAATGTCCTCTCTTGAAATGCATCCTCCCCAGGGGCAAAATGTCATTAGACTGTCACCAGCCATTAACACCCGAGAGTCAAATGAATTTATCAAATACTTTCTCTTTAGTATCACGGTACCCAGAGGTGCACCGTGGAACGAGGGCTGTTAAGAACCATTCACCTGGGACCCTGGGGACTTTTCACTGGCCCCTGGAGGATGACTAGGCAGAGGACTAGGCTGCAGTCACAAAAGTATCCCTGAGCTTTAATTTTCTGCATGTGGACTTTTAAAACCAGCCTTCCATTAAAAGGCTACTCCAGGTGGATTTCTTTCTTCCAGGGTCCTACTTCAGGGAAGACAAATGAACTTGAATATTGGCGTAATAATAACTAGTACGTACACCGTACCTACTATGTGTTAGACACTGTTTAAGTATGTTAAAAATATAACATTTGATCATCGCAACAACCCAGGGAGGTAGGCACTATTATCATTCCCATTTTACAATTGAGGAAACTGAGGCACAGAGATTTAAGTGACTTGCCCAAGGTCACCCAGCTAGTAAATGTCTGAGGCAGGATTTAAACTCGGGTCTTCCTGACTCCAGGACTAAGACTCTACCCACTGCACCGCAGCTGCAAAACAAGTTAAGAAGGTTAAGTGTGCAAAAACTCCAAACACAGCAAAGCGCATTCTTAACCATTATGATTCTAAGAAATTAAAAAAAAATCTGTGGATTATCCAGGCCACTGGGCCCTTTCATCGGTGCAGATAATTCAGGAAGTTCTTAGAGAAGGCAGACTAGTACTAGAAAGAGCATATTTCATCATCTAAATCTTGTTCACAATCTTGAGAACCATTTGCTAAACATGTTAACTAAGGGATTCTACTTGCCCCTCCCGACACACACACACACACACACACACACATACATCTAGAAGGCAGATATAAAAAAACAGTCGGGCCCTACTAAAGATCCTCTCCCCACCCCCCACCCCCCAGTGAAAGCAGCAAGGCAAACAAACCTTCACCTTCCCATTCAAATCCCTCAGCAATCTGGCCCCACCATTCGTTCAACCTTTATTTCCTTCTCTAACCCAAATGGTTCCAACCCATTCATTCATTCTGTCCCCTCTTCTCACCAGCCTTTCTTTTCCTACCCATCCTATTTCCCTTCACCCTTCCCCTCCCCAATGCCTTAGACCCTCCTTGCTACCTGTTCAAATCACATCCATCCAATTCATCTCCCTGAAACCTAAAGTACCTTCTCCCTTTTAAGGCCATCTCCCACTCTGAAATTCTGCCTGACCACCATCATCAGTGATCTCGGAATTCTGCACCTCATAGCGCTCGTATATAAATATTACACATGTATGAAAAGTTAGATGATATAGGAAATGTCTATCTAAGCTCCAGTGCCAGATTGAATAGAGTTCAAGTGTGGGAACCCCAGTTTCCTACTCCTTGTAACCCTCGGAGTCACTAGAAAAGGGCTGAGCTCTTATTAAATGCTCTAAGTAAATACTTCATTGTTTTATAGGGTCTACTTTCAGTCAGGCACCAATAAATGCTTACCATGATTCACAGAATTTACCTTAAGTAATTAATAGACTTTGTAGGCACACATATGAGGGGATGTTCCTTATTTCAGAATCTCTGGATTACTGTACTTTGCATCCCCTTCCTCCTTTTCTAAAACCCAGAGCAATCTGGTTCCTATCAAGGAATGAGACATGGCCAATGAAGGACTTTATTTTTGCTTAGCTATGCATATTTGTTACGAGGACTGTTTTTCCCCAATGTGGAGGTTGGAGGAGGAGAAAATCTATTTTTGTTGATTGGAAAAAAAAAAGGCTCACGAATGTTCTTTCCTTTGATTTTTAGTAGTACTAAAGAGCTACCAAAAATGGGACACACTCGTAAATAAAAATGATTTTCATGAAATGTTGAGTTCAATCAGAAATGAATCAATGGAAACACAAACCCTGAAATAGGAGCAAAGCACCATAATTTTAACTCTGACAATTTATATTCAAAGATTGTACATGATCCCTCCCCACTTCCAACCCCCAAGAGCTTTATAAAGCAGTAGTACATAATTGAAAACAAATAACTACTTTTAATTCACTGGTACAAAAGGATACTGAAAGGGCAAAGAACTGAATAAAGAATCACTTCTCAGGGATAAATATACTTTAATGGGTGAGATGGCATTTAGAAGCATTTTTTCCCCTTCAAATAATTCCAGAAATTTTAAACTCACCATTTGGCCTCCAGTTTGGAATATGTGAAATATAACACACACGTCTAATTTTGACCTGAGGCTGCACAAAAGCAAACGTTCCAGTCAATTTCCACCATAGTCACATCTGGGAGAAAACAAAAGCTATGTACACATAGAATCGACCCTGTGGCACTCTGCAATTTGACCCACCTAACTTTGATTTCAGAATAGGTAGACAGAGTGTTGTGAGCTGTTTTTTTGGTTTGTTTTTGGTTTTTTTTATGGCCAGCAGTTTGGGATAATTTCAGATAAATGAATGCAAGTATCTGCCTGTAATTTCTGAGCCTGTGTTCATTAGTTAGATTCAGAATTTTTGAGCTGCACTTGACAGATGAGGAAAACTGAGGATTGGAGACATTAAATGACTTTTCCAAGGCCACACAACTAAAGGCTGTGTGGACAACAGCTTTCAACCCTTTTCAAACCAGGGGTTTCAACTGATAAATTCAGGGCGGCGCTTTAGGGCAACAAAGGGGGAGGAAGTCAGGGCTGGCAACACTGTGGTGGCCACTAGTATGGAGTCAGGTCCCGTCATATTCCCTAATTCCCCATCTTCTGATCGGAGCTAATAAGAAGCTCATGCTATTGTCCCTACTTTCTAGTTCTTGCTGTGTGTTCAGGCATGTAAACAAGAATAATTTTCTGAGAGTTCTATATGATATATTGGTTTCCATCACTGTCTCTAGACTATATTCATTGATCCCAATTCCAGTAGTCTTACAGCTCTCAACCCTGAGTACAGAACCTAAAACACCCACCTTGATTTACACTGTAAAGTCACTTTATTATTCACAACCAACACATCACTGGAAGTATCTCATTCTACAGCATCAACAGGAAAGGAAGGGGTCAATTTTTCAGTCTCAGTGTTTTTATGTCCACCTTTTGCCACTTCTATGAGTAACTACAGTTCCTTGGCCTTACAGGTCTCCCACCAAAGGGTAGCAGGGGCAGTTCATTCTGAAGGTGTCTCTTTTTTTCATCATTAATTTTCACAGAAAGTTATATTCTTGGGAGCTCTACATTTAACCTAGAAACTAGAAGCATTTCCTGCCCCACTTGCTAACCTAGAGCACAGCCAGAAGACCAGATGATTTACATCTTTATGACTAGTTTTTACCATCCAGAGCAACAACATAATCCTCCCTCCACTTTTAAGTTATAAGCCATTGAGATATAGCTAACGATCATCCCTTTACTTTCCTGAGAACAGGGTTGCCCAATAGGTTGCCCAATCTCCACCGGCTGATCTTTGAGTCCAACTAACACTTGGTTAATGTTGTCGTAATTCACAAGGACAGCTGAGCTAAATGTAAAAACAACTCCCATCAGACTGCCACCCTTTATCTTTCTTAGAAAGTTCAAAAGATCAGATGGCAGGTTTGGGACAACTCTATTTTGTAGTAGAAATTTTAATCTGATCATCATGTTGACAAGAAATGTCATTTCAACTCGTGCCAAGAATTTGTAATTCTTTTTTTTTTTCAGCTGCACGTTGGAAAAGAGCTAGCTAGGTGCATTCAATTTTTAAATAATTACAAGAGTCCCCAAAACCAGCACAGCACAGTGGAAAGAACACTACATTTGGAACTAAAGGGACTGACTTTAGATTCTGGTGTGATCACTTACTTCCTGTGATCTTGTACATGTTATGCAAGTGTCCTTAGGCATCAGTTTTCTCACTTGGAAAATAAGGCTGGACTAGAGGACTTCTCATATCTATTCCTTCCACCTATTAAACCTACAATCCTGTAATTCCTATTAAGCACTTTAATGCCTCCCACAACACCTCCACACAAAACACTAAAGTTTGGACACTGAATCTTACAATTCTGTGGGCCTTCCCTGGAATTTCCCTCAAACTTCTGCTCTTCATTTTTCCTACCTATCCATAATGCACATGACTTCTAAGTCCCTAACACCTCACTTAACAACTCACTAAATGAAAGAACAGAACAATCCAAACCAAATCATTCCAGAGGCAGGTCTCACATATGGGGAAGACTCCCTGGCCTCTAGCACTGGCCAGAACTCTCTTTGGATGTAGCTTCAAGGATGGTCCTGAGGCCCAGTCACTGGGAAGGCATGGAGCTTTGGGGCATGTTTCTGGGGTATGGGACATAACCCTTCAGGGATGAACAAAGGAGGGGCCCTGCACAGAAGGTTCTGGGGAGGGAGGGGCTGTGCTGTTGCTGTCTCCATTTTTCATTTCTTCTCTCTGGCTCTTTGCCAGTCTTAATGAGCAAATTCTGTACAAAGAACACATTGTCTCCTAGAGCAAAATCCAGTCTCCTCTCTTGATGGCAGGCTACTCACCCTTCTTTCATATATTGCACAAAACCCCTTCAAAAGCCTTGAAAACTCCACTAGCAATTATGCAGTTATTGTGCAGCAATCTAAGCAGATGATTAAGAATGGGTTTTCCTTGGGTACCCTGCTGCTTCATTTGTACAAAGACCTGATGTGTACTTCTTATAACAGTACATTTACACACGCCCCCACCCCTCTCCAGGAGAAGCCTGATGCCGCCAAGTGTGGCATGTCACCACCCCTTTCCCTCCCCTCTCTTGGTGTGGCCCCCCTGACCTTTCAAAGACTAGGATCACAGGATTCAGAGCCAGGAGACCTTATATAAATATCTAGTTTAGTTCCTCCCTTTAATAGGTAAGGAAATGAAGGCCAAGAGAATGATGTGATTCACTCAAGGTTACACAGGCAAAGCCAGAATCTCAAGCTCCAAAGCCAAGGCTTTCCATTCCCCAACCCAACCAGTAGGCATGTGTGTATGTAAGTGTGTATGTCCGTCCATCTACGGCTTTTTGGTCACTCAGACCAGTGATTTTATCAGTGTGAAGAACTACCAACATGGCAGCTCCTTCTCCCAGTGCAGATTTGGCAATTCTTTGATCATTTACAATCACAGGGGACACTGGGAAGTTAAATGATGTGTCCTTTGTCATACAGCATTATGTGTCAAAGGCAAGGCTTAGACCTAGGTCTTTCTCACACCAAAGGTGCCCTGTTCCCACTAAGCAACACTGTTTATACATACATGGGTCCATACATACATGCATGTGTCTATCTCCATGGTGAGAAATACATGTATGCATAATACTTCACTATTTAAACATTTAATTTAATCTAGAATATTTAATTTGTAAGCTTGGTAAAACTAGCCATTTTTATAGGAAGAAATGAAATTTTCTTTATTTAAAAAAAAAAGCCAGCGTCTCCTCTCTAAGCTTCCCTCCTCCTCCACACCACTGTCCTTGGGACACAGCTTCCCAATTGTCAGCTGAAGGCCTTTCCTTTCATCTTGGCTGGGTCAGAGTTCTCCTGCCTTCTTGGCTTGTGAAGGGACGGCTAGAACACAGCTCAGAGAGAAGTAAAGCCAGCGGCCAGACCGCCTGCCAACTGTGCCCTGCCTTCCTCTATCCTTGGTTCACAAAGATCCCAACAAAGAGCCTCCTCCCCCGGCCCTGAATTCTGGAAAGACCTTGCTCAGACTCTGAAGGGTCATCAAGGCTTCGAGCAGAACATGAATGCTGCCACTTAAAATGCCTTGTGGTTGGGGCAGGGGAAAGTGAGAGAAGGGGGGAAGAGTGGACTAGGTCCCGTCAGGGCAGCGAGAAGTTCCCAAGAGGGACCGCAGGCTTCCACAGAACGCGAGCTCTGTTACAGAGCCTTCACTGCAAGCTCTCTGTAACCGGTTTTTCTAAGGCTACTTCACTGCTGGTTTTGTAGTTCCTTGTGCTCAAAACCAAACAAAAACATCAAAACCTCTAAATCAAATCAATAAATAACACCACTCATTTTCACCCAAGTATACTGCATCAGGAAATCCCTGCATCCAAAGACAAACAAGAGGCTGCAGATGGGTCCTCCCTGCCAGGGCCGAATTGGCCACTCGACAGCTGTGGCACCAGCAGGAAGACACGCCAAGCCATTGAGGTGGTTAAGGACTACAGACGTCACTAGAGCAGGAGGCTGCCATGAAGAAACCTAAGCGGCGTGTCTAACAGGAGTCCTCAAACAAGACTCTACAGACTTTATGAGAAGAATCAGGGCGGGAAGGAACTAGATGTTGAGATGTCCATGTAAAAAAGCCTCAAAACAGGACGTTCTTCAGAGTGGCGAATTTCCAGGTCATTAGTCCTGAAAACTGTTGGCATGTTTCAAGTCCCCCAGACGGTCTCCTGAAAACCAGTGTATGTCAGGTGCTGCTCCCTGGAGCATGCATCTTGTGCATGCTGGCATCAGGCAGATCTCTGCTTGGCTCTAGGGGAGGATGGCACTGTCTTAACACAGCAACAGCCCCCGAATCCCCTCCTTTCTGGACAGGATGGCACAGAAAGGGAGCTCAAGATCAGGACTGTTTCTGCTCCAAGCTCTAACAGGTGCTATGTGACCAGAGGAATGTGAAATTCATTTGTATCGAAGATAAGGGGCCTTTTGGGAGGATTTGGGTCCCGGTCAGCTTTATGCAGCAGCTTGAAGAGCCCGGTTCCAATGTTCATGGGGATTCCCATGATAATGCACTCAGAAACACCTGAAACAAACAAGGGTAGAGATTAAAAAGCTTTCTGAAGATACATTTTCAATAATGGATCTGACCCCTTATGTTTTAAAGCATACCCTAAAAGGCATTCATAGGGCAACCAAGCTCTACGAAAACAGCTTTTACCCAAAATCAGGATTCTCATTACAAGAAGATGTCAGATCTGGAAGGGGCCTCAGAAATGCTGAAGCCCAGAAGGTCAGTGACCTGTCCAAGGTCACCTAGTGTGCCACTGACTGAGCTGGGACTAAAACCCACATCTTCTGAACTCTGTCCAGTGCTCTCAAAAGTGAAATGGAAGACAGGACCGATTTCACCCCAGTGAACAGTCGTTGGGATGCTTTAATGGGGTTGAAACCAAGGAAGAGAACCAAGAAGTGCTTCTCTAGCAGAATCAGCCGCTTGTAATGCCCTTGGAGGGTGTCCACACCGTTCCTGCTCTGGTATGGGAAGCCTACACGTATTATGTTCTCACCTCAAGATATGCCTGGGCTCCAATGACTGTGGGAGCTTTTGGGGTCAGTTTGGTTCTGCCCCACAAACCTGGCTATTTGCTGGCCACTGAGAAAGACCAGAAAGTTCTGCTTTTCCACTGGCAATCAGCAGGGCTCTTGCCTTTGAGATCACTGAATTCAGTCAGTGAAAACATCTTATAAATGCTTTAAGGAGATGATGTGCTTGTAGTCAATTGCTGTTTTAACCAGGACCCTCAGATGGAAGTAAACACTCAGGGCTCTCGAAGCATATGGACTCTGCTGCTCCTTAGTTACTGAGAGCACAATACCTTAGGCCAAGCCCAATTTCCTAATTACAGTTGTGCACAGGCACAGGTACGCAGGGGCCATGTGACCCTCGGCAAATCAGTTAATCTCTCTAAGACTATCAACTACAAAGCAGCTGCTGATAAGCACTGACAGAGGGACTCCTCATACACCAAAGAAATGCCAAGTCTGGTCTGCAAAATAAATTGTTGGTTTACATGTGACCACTTCTAACACCAAATCCTCTACCCAGGGAAAAATTTGACTACTGTGTGTCAGTTTTGTCATTTTAAAATGGTGACCCTACTTGTTAATTGACTATTTTACTAACAGCAATATTTTTAGATGTATAGTTATTACAGAGGAGGGAACATAATATTACTTAATGATTTTTGGTTTATTTAAAAAACAAAACAAACAAAAAACCAATCCACAAAAGCCTCACTAGACAGATGTGCCAAAGGGCTCTCTCTCAGTCTCTCACTTTCCTTCCAAAGTGATGTCTCTGGAGAGTCACTGTTAGTCTGGTATGACTGCTCTGGGTCACAGACTTTAAGAGTTTCTATAAAGCTACTGTCTGATTCTTCTCAGTCTGGCCTCAGTTCTTTTGAAGCAGACTCCAGCTGTGCATGACCCTCCGTGACCTTGTGGAACATAGCACACCAGTACTGTCCCTGGGGGTTTCTTGGCAAAGATACTGGAGTGGTTGGCCATTTCATTCTCCAGTGGATTAAAGTTAAACAAAGGTTAAGAGATTTGCCCAGGGTCATCCAGCTAGTAAGTGCCTGAGGCTGGATTTGAACTCAGGTCTATCTGCTGTGTCACCTAGCTGCCTCCTTTAATAGCTCTACTTACCTTCAAAGACGTAAGGGTAGAGGTGGGGAACTGATCAGGCTTTAGGGGCCCAAAAAACTGACCAACTCCAATTTTATGATCTGTGCCTCTGATCTTTTAACAATTTCTCCCTCAGGGTTTATGAGGCAACTGAAAAGTACTGGTTGATGTGGAACACATTAAAAAGAAAGCACCTGATAGCACCTCTTAAATACCTACCACACACAGAATCCTTCTGCCCAAAGTAGGCTGCATCAAAGAGATGGTCAGCAGTCTTTTCAAAGGAAGCCAGCATCAGCACACTTTCCTTCATTTTGGCCAGGCCAAACCTAGTAATACCCAGAACTTCACCCTATAGGACAGAAAATGAGAATCAGAGCTCCAGGATTTTCAATCCATGTACAAACACTTAATGATAAACCATCTCTTCATTGCTTGCTCCAATGTAACAAAAAACAGCAGATGGTCAGTCAGGAGCAACTTGGAAACAAATTTACAGTTCAGTTTAAGATGTCTTTTTCTACTAGATGTCAGTCTAAAGTTTCTAACTTGAACTGAAAAGTTCCTTAATGAAAGAGACTAATGGCTGGGAGACTTTATTCGCCTAGCTGAAATGAAACATGGGCCAAGTTCTGCACATGGGCAGAGTCATGCTCAAGTTTTCAAGGTGGAATCTTCTGCAAAAGACCATGTTAAAGACCAGGCCTGCGCCTCCCTGTGGAGCAGCCACAGGGTGCCTTGTTTTAAAGGTGAAGAAAAAAGTGTGACTATCAGTAAACCCTGTAACCGCTACACCATTCATAAAACGCAGGGGGAGCGAGTGTTTGAGCATCATTTAAATCAATGAGGTCCAATACACACACATGATACAAAAAGGCCTTGCCTAGAGGCTCAGGCTACAAAGGTGAAAAACAACCCAATTCCAGTCCTCAAGATTATAACAGCCTATCAGAAAGAACACATTGTTTCCCACCATTTCCACAACTCATTCTTCCTCTGGAGCAGTAAAACCGCATCACTGTATGGAAGAAACAAGACTTGAGATGCGCTAATGAAGGGCATCTTTGGTTTCCATATTGTTGTGACACCACATTCTCAACCGTGGTCCACAGGATGATCTGTGAAACCCCTATAAGGCCTCTGTTAATTAGAGAAAGCAGCAGGCTAAAAGGACTTTCTTACAAACCTTGTATGTCATGAGATCTGAAAGCAGCATGACGTGTCTCCTGTCAATGCTCATGCCATGGTTGACCATGGTGTACTGGATCTCATTAATAATAGTTGACCGTGCAGCTTCAATGCCCAGGGTTTTCTCTACCTAAGGAAGGTTAAAGATGAAGAAAGCTGTGAGCTCATTTCTGTACAACGACTGCACTTCTGAAATAGAATCTTGGAGTTGGGAGGGAGCTTAGTGGTTACCACTTCAACTCTATCTAAAAGCATGCTTCATCTTGATAATGAGGATGACAAGCTCAGGGAAGAGGCTCTACCTAAATATTCCTTATGATGGGAACTCTCATCCTCACAGAGTCTTGCCTGTTCCCCTTTGACCCAGATTTGACTACTAGAAAACACTGAGCAGAGGCTTGCCTTTCTGCTCATTCTGGGCTTGGCCCAGCCTTCTGAGACCTTGCAGAATTCTAACACCTCTTTCACATGATAGCCATTCAAATACTTGAAGATGCCTTCTAATGCCTCCAACTAAGACTTTCATATGCCCTACAGGCACCTAGTCTCAGTTTACTAAAATAATATTCACATGACTGAGCTTCTAATCCCTGCACCACTATTTGTCCTCCATGAACAAATTCTACCTTGCCAATGCCCCTTTTTGAACTCCAGCTCAAAATCCAAGACGTGGCAACCAGACCACAAGTGGTCTGGTCAAATTGTGGCCCAATTTTAAAATAAACACTCTTTCCTTTGTTTGGTGACCTAATTCCAGTAAATATTAATCACCCGTGCAGACAGCACAGACACCAGAATGTGGAAGATTACAGGATGATGCAGTCAAGGGTGACAATGAAGGCGGGATATGAGTGCCTGAAGACAGCACCTGCACGCCTGAGCTCACAGATGCTTCACGGTACTGAAGGAGCACACATGGCAAAGCCAAGAAGGCCGTGACAAAGACCTGTGCGTGCCTGTGAACGGCATGTGTGGGGCACCTTCCGATGGAGGCCAGTGGGGCAACAGAAGGGGAGTCAGCGCAGGCTGGAGTCAGAAGCTGCGCGTACCTCGTATGTGTTATTGGAAGTCGTCTTGGTGCCTTGAACGCCGTGTGTCGCCATGACAGCCCTGAGGTTATCGCCCTCCACCAGCAGCTTGTACTTCTCCTTTCCACTCTGCTCATCAATATGTATCACGGCTCTTGCCACCTCTGGGATACCTTGTACCACAACCTGCACACCGACAGAACAGAGGGGCCGAGACACTTGTCATGCTGCCATCTCTAGAACACGCTTGACAGAAAGAACAATCTGGGCCCTTACCCAGGGAGTCCTGTGTGCTCCTTCTACATAACAACTGAGACACTGCAGGGCAAGGGAAGGGCTTGGTGCTGGGGTCTCACCTTGGGCAGGTCTTCTTTCAGAAACTGCAGCACATAGTACATGGAGCTCTTGCTGTTTTCTCTTGGGGTAACACAGAGCACGGCCTCCCCATGAACAGCCACATCTCCAGGCTTCACTCGAAGCTTTGACGTGCAGATGGAGTAACGCACAGTTTCAGCATTCACCTGTGACCACATATAAGAATTGAATAATAATAAAATTCTACCATACCAAGAGAAGCAGCTGTAGTTTTGACAAATGAGCCTTCAGCTCATCTATCCTGTTCTAGCCATTATCAGTGCTAACTGCTGGCTACCTGAAATATAAGACTGAGAAACCCCCAAACCTCATCTGACCCAGGAGGTCAACCTCTTCTCTTTTATGTGATGTATCTCAGAATTGCTAAGAATTACACTGTCAAATAGACATTTACTTCCTTTCCCTATCTTGTTTGGTAAAAGAACCACAAGGCAAGCAGAAAGAGAAACAAAGAAGCAAAGGACCTGGATAATTCAGAGACCTGAAAACTGGCTCCTGTAACATTCAACAATCATTTAATAAACATCTGCTACCTAATGGGGTATGGCAGACTGAGGGATGGCCCCCACGCCAAGAAGTCCAGAAGGGCTTCACATCCCACCTCGGGCACAAGGACTGTGACCTTGGGCCACCCTCTTGGTGTTCTCTGGGGAGCAGGTACCATCTTGCAGTAATAAGAGGATTTCTCTCTTAGTACTGAAATCCAGGTCTAGTCTCTCTCTATTCCTGGCAAGGCTCTGTGTCATATTCTGGGAATAGGAAGACAAAAACAAGATTGTCTCTGGCCTCAAGAAGCTTATGTTCTCTGGCCAAGAGACAGTATCTATGCAAACAAGTGATGTACCTGGATAATTGAGGAAGTAGAGAGCATGAACAACTGGGGAGGTGACAAATGAGCTGAGCCCAAAAGAAATGAGCCCAGAGCCCAGAGACAGGAGATAGCTAGCACTTCTCTGTGGCTGGAATACAGACTTCATGAAGGGGCAAAGGAAGAAAGGAGGCTGCAGAATGCCTTATGTGTCAAGGTAAGGAGCTGGTACTTCATTCTACAGGCAGTGGGGGCCTGCTCACAGTTCCTGAGCAGAGAAGTCACAGGGTGAGCCTAGGTCTGAACCAGAAAAGGCGAAGACTAGAACGACGGCAGTTCTGAGGCGACTGCAGTGACTGAGGACCTGAGCTAAGGTTGGTGCTGTCTAAGTGAAGGGAAGACAGACGGATATGGGAGATGCCAGTGTGGCAGAGGAGACACAACCTGGCAGCTGACTGATAGGGGAATGAGCAAGGGAAAGGACTGAAAGACAGCTATAAATTGTGATGGGTGATGCAGAGATTGGGGTGGTCTGAGCAGAAAGGGGGAATGTACAAAAGATGGTTTACGGGAGAAGGTAAACGCCCCAATTCTCTCTCCTCCAGGCCATCCTCTACACCGGCCTTGGGTGTAAGAGAGGATCCTTACATTCTCCTACTCGACAGGTGCCAGAAGCTCCCTATGGCCTCTAGGATAAACTAGCTACTTCTCTGTCAGGCTTGGTCCCAGTCTCACCTTTCCAGTCTCAGCAGACACTCTACTCTCCTGTCTGGCCCAGATGGCCTTCTCTCTGCTCCTTACACCTGCACTCGCCTCCTGGCTGAGCCCTCTACTCAGAATGGATTTATTCCTTGCCTCTGCCTCTCAGAATGCCTCTCTCCCTTTCGGATGGAGCTCAGGCAGCACCCTTCTTCCTCAACTCCCCATCTGCTAGTACCCTTCCTCCCTAACTTTGCCTTGTTTTTAATTTGTATATACTTAGACCTGTCTTTTTTTGGTCTCTCTCGTTAGGATGTAACCAGAGATGGTCTTGTTCTCTGTCTCTGTATCAGCACAATGCCTGGTACAGTTATTAATAAACGTTCATGGATTGATTTTAGACAAATTGAGTCTAAATGGCTATGGGACATGGAGGATGAGACACTGACAAAGCAGCTAGTGAACGAATGGAATTCTGGAGAGAGATTAAGGCCAGAAGTCATCTGCATAGACATCACACTTGAATGAATTCAAAGGAGCTGAGATCTCCAGAAGAGGCAGCATAAAGAGGGAAGACAAAAGGACCCAGGGAAGTAAATGGGTAGATGATGATTCAACAAAAGAGACTGAGGAGCAACACTCAGAAAGAGAGGAAAGGAAGTAGGAGAAGATGGTATAATGGAAGCCAAGGGAAAAAAATGTCCAGGAAGGGTGGCCAACAGAATCAGAAAACAGAGAGATCAGAGGATGAGGACTGAGGACGGGCCACCGGGATGGGCTATTAAGAGATTGCAGGTAACCCTGGGCAGAAGAGGAGCTGCAAGGGCAATGATGGGAGGTGAGGAAGGAAAGCAGCAAGGTCTTCTTTCTAGCAGTTTTTCAGTGAAGAGGAAAGATGGCAAGGCCAAGTGAAGATTTAAGGATGGAAGAGACCTGAGTGTCTGCAACCTTCTTATAGTTGTGGTCTGTCCTTCATTCTCGAAGAGGACCATGACATCAGGGAGATGATGACATGACCTGTAACTGACTTTGATTTGAGTGAAGGAGGGCTGTGCAAAGACACCAGCCTCGCTTTCTCCTCCAGAGGGTCCAATGGCCAGATACTGATCAGGATGACTGGAGATGGTCCAGGATGTAGTGGATGACTTTGACCCTTTTAAGCTAAGGTCTTTTCAGGTTCTCATTTTGAGTTGGGCACCTTGTCCTCGCCTCTCCTATTCCCTTACCTGAGGGTGTTCTGCCCAAAGGAAGGTAAAATTTTGATGGCTGAAAGCTGCCTAATTAACTTGGGGTTTACCGGCTACATTACTTTCTCAAAGACCAAGCCTTAAACACAATTTACTCTGGATCTCATGGATTGGACAACAGGTCCCTGCCGAAGCACCACTTAATGGTTATTTCACAGCGTGAACGTAAATATAACTGTTCTCGGGTCTTCCAGTTTGATTATTTATTTATTTAAATTAAAGGGGCATCCCTTGACTCACTCCTTAAAGAGGCCTATTCACTGAATGGGTGTTGCCTCACTCAAAGTCTGTGAGCAGTGGGGAAAAGAACGAGAGGGGAAGAGTGAAGATGAGGACAGAGTAGGAAATGGTCAGCAGAAGGAAAAGAAGTAATTCTTCCTTCCTCAGAGTCAAAAGTAAAGGAGGTGAGTAAAGATACAGAGAGGTTTTGTAGAGATAAGGGATCTTATGGCAAGAGACTCTTTTTTTTTTTCTCAGTGAAGCAGATCTTCTGAGAGAGAAAGGGGAAGGGAGGTATTGGGAGGTTCAGAAGAAAAAAGGTGTGGAACAGTTGCTGAGGGAGGGCACAGAGTTAATCAATGAAAAACAAAAGTTTCCCACATGGCAGTGAGGGCTCATTTGAAATTGGATAATATGAATTTGTAATATCAGCAGGGTGATGTGACTTGCTCCACTGAGGACTGGCAAACAGGGTATGAAGCTGATCTGGAAAACTCTCGAGTCAAAACAGTGAAAAAAGGAAACAGGCTTGAGCAGAGCAGAAGAAAAAGACTGGAAGACCAGGAGGAGATGGAGAAACTGAGGCTTCAGCAAGGAGAATCAGGTTTAGGAGGATGGAATGAGGCAGAAGGAGAGAGTAAATGATATAATATTCTGATAAAGAACTGTTTTTGGTAAGTAAATACTTTCCCACATAATTTAATATTGTTAAGAAAAAATACGGTTAACATTAAAATATCAAATGTTCTCCCCAAATGGGATGGTCAAGTGGTACACCGAGAAGAACCCTGGCACTGGGTTTGCATTCCTCCCTTGACACTTATGAGCTGTGTGACCTTAGGGTAGTCACAACCTCTAAGTTTCTTCACTGTAAAATCTCCATTTTGTGTCAGAGCCGATAACCTGTAAGGTCCCTTTTCTAGCTATGATTTTATGAGATAAATCACAGAAGTGAATTTCAGCGCTCAAAATTATGGCAGAGCAAAAATTTGTGGTAAAGGCAAGACAGAAGCTATGACCACTCCTGTGGGTGAATGAGTTAAGAGTGAAGTGCAGGTCACCAGGGGCATAAGGTATTTGGAAGGATATCAACACGTATATTCACAGCCCAAGTACTGAGGCAGGGGCTGAGCTAAGTGAGAAGACTATGAACCATGAAATGAACTCCTTGAGAAAGGCGAGAGAGTGACCCAAAGGCCAACGGATTAAAACGAGAAGGACTGCAACCAGGTGATGGTGAGAAATGGAAGGCACCTGCAAGGAGACATAGGTCTGGCAGAGAGAGGCCTGCAGCAGGGAATCTCTGAAAATTTCCCTATCACCACCACCAGCAACATCAATTTACCACTTTCAGGACTACTGCATATTTTTAGAATTAGAGAATGGGAAAGTTTAAAATCCATTTCATCAGAAGCAAAGACAAGATGTCTCTAAGTTTTGGAATATGTCCTGTTGATCGAACCTGTCTTCTGATTCATCCGGACCAAATTAGTTTTCATTATGATTTATCTCGAACAGGTTTGAAGCTAAAATAAAAGTTAACCTAAGAAAGTAAAGAGCTCACAGCTATGTAGTGGGAGGCAGGCAGTCTAAGGATTATAATCTCTATTTTACAGATGAGGAAGCTGAGGCTCTGACTTACCCTGGGACACATGATTAGAAAGTCTGAGAGAGCGAAGAGAGGGAGAGAGAAAGAAGAGGGAGGGAGGAAACAAGGATTTATTAGGTGTCTGCCATGTGCCTGCCACTGTGCTCAGTGCTTTACAGATATTTCATTTGATCCTTACACCAACCCTGGGAGGTTGTGTTAATATCCCCTTTTACACTTTAGGAAACTGAGGCAAACTGAGGTTTAGTGACTTGCCCAGGGTCGCACAGATATTAAGTGTTTGGACACTAGCCTCAGGGGTAGATCTGAACTCAGGTCTTCCTATCCCTTCCTATAATCTATCCACTATACCACTTAGCTGTCTCTTAGGCAGGATTTCAGCCTCAGTGTCTTGATTCCAAGTGCAGAACATTATCTTCTCATTCCCTTTCACCTACCCTCCCTTGTAGCCAAGGTGACCTATTCCTTGACTGCACGCTCTATTTCGGTGCCTGAAGGACCGTCCCAGGCCTGGAGCACATGCCCTCCTCAGCCTGGCCTCACAGAGCTTTGCTTCCCCTGCCTCAGATCAGGGCCACCTCTTTCACCAGGCCGGTGTCCCCCAGTGCCTTCCTGAAATGATGATCTCGTACTTTCTTAAGCGTAGGCTGTGAACAGAACCTCCTGAGGGACTGCCTGGCCCTGACCTCTGCCCTACAATCCCTGGTCCTTCCTGGGCAGGGGACCTCTTACTCCATTCTGAGCTCTGTGAGGAAAGACCTACCTCGAGTCTCAGAAGTCTAATGCGTTCCAATGAGAGCTTGACGAGAATAAAACAATCATCAGGGAGAAAGACTTCTTCGATGTACTCAGAAATCTGCAGCATCAAAAGAGCACAACGTCAGCACAGCCTTTCATTCCTCTACCTACGAAAGGTCCTTGCTGCTTCTTAAGGCAGTGAGTGAGGGTGAGAACACTAATTGCAGTGGCTCCCAGGATCTCTGCTAACAGCAGAGGTGCACCAGCACGACAGACGAGGAGTTCTTCTTACCTCTCCCAAGAGAGTTTTCTCAATTCGTCCTTTCACGAGACGGGCATAGTCGGCGTCATCGTCCTTGTCTAGCTGGGCTGTGATAATTGGAGTGCTACAGAAGTGCAGAAAAATACCATTTGATGATTGAGAGCAAGCTGGCTTTGTTTTCTATGTCTGTTATTTTAAAGGGAGAGTGCCTAAGCCCCCGAAGTCAAACTAGGTAAGGACAACTGGAAAGATGTGAGCTCTCCTTCACTGCACAGGCAGGACTCCATCAGAAGCTGCGCTGGGCTGGTGGTGAAGACATACAGCTGTCTGTCTTTGGGATCCTTTCTTAGCTCTCATACGGCCAAGGACCTTGGAGAACCCCTGCTCCAAGGCACAAGGGCCAGTATGTACTGCTCCCTTCTCACCAAGCAGGCGTCAGGCGAAGCGAAAACAAAAGACTCACTCTGGAAACAGAGGCTCCTTGAGGAGCACTTCTTGGGTGGCTACCATGTTTTTTTCTACTGTATTTTTACACCATTGGCAAATGGCAGATGAATATAGGATCACAGATTTAAAGGGCCCTTAGGGATTGTGTTTATTTTACAGATGAAATAACTGAGGCCCATGAGGTTCAATGACTTGCCCAAGGTCACATAGCTGGCAGGCATCCGAGGAGGGATTAGAAGACAGGCCTACTCGCAGACCAAGAAAGTGCGAGAGCCATGAGTGAGAGTGACAGCCTGGACTCTGCTGTGTACAAGCCAGAAGACACATACTGGGAAGCTTGGTGTGTCTGCAAGGCCCATGTGAGGTGTGGTCACTCCCCGGTGCTCCCTTTAGAGGGTAGGGGGTCCAGCAGTTCCCTGATAGACCAGGAAAGGTGGTGATGTCCCCTCCAAAGATGTCATTTATTCACATTCCCCTGGTTTCTTATGTGTGTGTGGTTTTATGAAAACCAGGGATGAGGACACATGAATTTATAATCTCCAGCTGAATAAGACTGTATGTGTGTGAAGAATAAAAGCAAGTGTGGCACCTGATGGCTTTGGAGGCATTGATGATTTCTTTGATGCGGGGCACACCCAGAGTGATGTTCATGGAAGCCACACCTGCAAAGTGGAAGGTCTTCAGTGTCATCTGTGTGCCAGGCTCACCGATGCTCTGAGCACAAAGTGCACCCACTGCAGAACCAGGCTCCATCTGTGCCCTGTGGAAAAGAGGTAATTCAAAAAGTGAAATGCCATTCAAGAAAAGAACAGGCAGCTCAAATGCCTCCTGGGAGGGAGGCTCTGCTATATTCGATGGATGCTCAGATTTGTATCGAAGCGTCAGGAAGGAGATGGCACTGGGCCAGGTGCGCCTGCAATAGAGGATGATGCTGGACATACATACATAGACCTATCATGTGAAGAGATACTGGAATAAAGGAACAACCCACTGGGATGGCATCTTTCTTACACTGGTCCTGAGACTAAATCAGATACACAATCTGTACCAAGTGAAAGGTAGGTTCACATATGAACCTGGGTCATGAGGCTCTATGGGAATAGATTCCTGTGTAAAAACATCCACTGATGACAAATCATTTTGGGAAAGTTTCTTGTGAGTACAGCATGAGTCAGATATACCTCTGTCTTCTTAATGTGGAAAAGAACCACGAAACCACAAAAAAGGTAGGCACATATCTACCTACCTACCTATTCCCTGGGGAATGGGTGAACAAATTGTGGTAAAGGAATTAAAGGAAATCATAAAATACTCTTAACGCCACAGAAAATGGCAGACATGAGGCAGTATGACAAAAAAAAAGGGAAAGATATGTATGAACTGATACAAGTTGAAGAAATCTGAACCAGGAGAATGATATACACCACGACTATAATGATACAAATGAAAACAACCAGAAAATGCAGCTGAATTCGGAGGAAATACAGGGACTACTCTTGGCTGCAGAGAAAAGATAATGAAATATATTTCCATCCTCTCAGTAGAGACAGGGAAGTTTACAGGTACAGAATGATATATGTGTTATTAGACATGATAACTTTCTTGGTCAGTTTTAACTTTTTTTGGGGGGGATGCAAAGGTAGTTTGACATGGGGAGGGAATGGTATATTAGAAAATGACTGTGATGTTTAAAATAATGAATAAAAAAAACATTTTAAAGAGACCCAATCAAATGACACTAACATTCAGATAACTTGATGTTTATTCCTTAAAATTTCAATTTATAATCATTTACTTTCGTTCTCTCTCACCACTGGGAAAAAAAAAGGAAAAAAAACCACCCCTCAAAACAAATATGCACAGGCAAATAAGACAAATTCTCATGTTGGGCAGGTCCAAAAACATTTATCTCTTTCTGCACCTTGAGTCCATCTCCTTTCTGTTAGGAGGCAAGTATCATGCCTTGCCACTGATCCTCTGAAACTGTGGTTAGTCCTAAGAATCAGAGTTCTTAAGTCTTACAAAGTTGTTTGCCTTTACAATATTATTGTTAATGTATAAATTATTCTTCTGGTTCTTCTCACTTTATTCTGCATCAGTTCGTATGGAGCTTCCAAGGTTTCTCCAAAACCATATCTTTCTTAATTTCTTATAGCACAATAGTATTCCATTACATTCATATATCATAATGCATTCAGTTATTTCTCAGTTGACGGACACCTCCTTAAGTTTCACATAGATTACAAAAAGTTGTGAAATAAACATTTTTGCACATATAAAATAGCCTTGATTTTTAAATAATTTATATCGATATATTGTTTCAGTACATCATACATATTGCCTGTGTACACCAATTAATTAATCTATTCCATAAAAGATATGAATTATATATCTTTCATCTCTAAATATCCAACCTATGGAGAAGCCTAATGAAGCCCCAAGATTATGATTAAGTTATTGGACAACAGTGTCAGAATTTAAAAAGACTCTGGCAAGTAAGGATGAAGTGCTCAATCTAATAATATGAAATTTAATAGAGAAAACTTTTAAGTACTATGATTGGGTTCAAATAATTAATTTCATAAGTACAAAATGGGATAGGCAATGGTTAGATAGCTCAACTGGAAATAAAAAAGATCTTGTGGGTTTTGCGGGCTTAGAACTAGATGCAAATCAACAGTATTTTACAGCAATCAAAAAACCTAATGTGACTTAAGGGCACAAGTGTCCAGAATGAGTGAGGTGACTCTGTTTCATTGTACTCTACTCTGCTCAATCAATCAATCCATCAGTATGCATTTAGCAAACACTTATCATGACAGGCACTGTGTTAGGGCCCGGTGATATGAACATAAAGAATGAAAACTATCCCTACTTTCACATTCTAATAGAGGTGACTAGTACATATAAAACCATACCATATAAATATGAAATACAAATACATGAAAAGTGGTTAAGTTCCCAATGGTTTGGGAGGGTGTCTGAGCTACATCTTACAGGAAGAGAGGGAGAGGTAAGGAGGGAATGAAGTCCACACAGAGGGGACGGCCAAGGCAGGGGTGTAAACGTTCAAAGAGGCTGGAATATAGGTAGGGGCCATGCTGTATAGGAATTTAAAAGCTAAACAGAAAAACAGCGGGGGAGGGGGAACAGCTGCAGTTAGGAGGTATGGTATAGAACAGAGGCGTCAAATATGCAGGCTGAGCCAGATTAAAATACAGTACCTTCTGATTTTAATGTGTTGATCTATTTTTTAAAAAAAGAAATACATAAACACGTATAATTTTCCAAGTCCCTCGATACAGGGTAGCAGCCTCTGTTTCTAGCTCAGCTTGACATCCCTGGCCTACATGGTGATCCAGCCAAAAACAGGAGGGGAATCAGAAGAGAGGAGTGTCCTGAAAACCCAGAGGGGAAAGAACATGGGGGCTGAAAGGGTGGTCAGCAGCGTTCAATGCAACAGAGAGAGTGAGAAGGGTGAGGAACGAGATGATTTGCCTTAAATTTTGTCTTAATTTGGCAGTTAAGGCAGGACTAGTAACTCAGAGAGGGCAGATTCGCAGGAGTGATGAGTGGAAGCCAGCCCCCTCTGCGGCATCATGTTCAGTTCTGGTTGCCACTTTTGAGGAATGGCAATGCTGAGCTAAAGGGCATCCAGAGGAAGCTCATCAGGCTGGTGAAAGGAATGTTGATATTATACCATATCTGGCAACTGATCAATCAGCAAAGTGCTCATTATTATGTGTTCACTAGGTGCCAGGCACTGTGCTGAGTGTTGGGGATATTAAAAAAAAAAAAGATGACATATTAATGAGGGAGACAACATATACAAATCAGACGATTCAAGAGAAATGTCTGGATGGGAGGGGACAGGGAAGAGAAGTGGCTGAGTCTTAAAGGAAGCCAGAGATTCAAAGAGTTGGAGAGTAGACGGGCAAGCATTCAGACTTTAGGATGCCAGGAGCCAGGAGATGGCACTGCCTGGGGGAGAGCCAGAAGGCCCATACTGCCAGGTTATAGCACATGCGGAGGGGAAAAGGATGAAAGATAATTAGAACACAGTAAGGACCAGGCTGTGAGGAGCTTAACTGGATGAAGAACATGGGGGGAGGGGGTGGGAGGGAAGGGAGGTTGACCTTGGAAAAGGGGGGGGGAAGGGGTGGTGGTGGTGCACACACGAGAGCCATCTTCAAATACTTCAAAAGGCTGTCACGTTGAGGGCTCAGACCATTTGTTCTTTGTTCCAGAGGGCAGAACTCTGAGCAGTGTTGCGGGGTCCTGGGGGCTGACTGACTCGGCTTCGTGTAAGGACAAGCTTCCCAAGAATTTCAGCTGCACAGCAGTGCAATGGGCTGCCTGGGGAGAGGAGTCTGTCTTTAACCGGGGGCTCAACAGTTTTAATGTGTGAAGTTACCAGTCCTGTCTTAACTGCCAAAGGTGGTGGTCTTTTCTCAGTCCTCATCCTTCTCACTCTCTCTGTTGCACTGGACACTGCTGACTGACCTCTTGACCTCCACACTCCTTTCTCCCTGGGTTTTCAGGACACTCCTCTCTTCTTGCTCTCCTCCTACCTTTGGCTGGATCATCATCTAGGCCACGGATGTAAAGCTCAGCTAGAAACAGGGGCTGCTACCCTGTACCTAGGGACCACTGTGGACTGCAGATATATATGTATGTATATATATGTTTGCATATTTCTTTTTTTATTAATACAACAACACATTAAAATCTTGCTGGAGATACTTCTCAGCCAAGCACAAGGCTGGACTAAATGCCCCCCAAGTGAGGGCCTTCTTCCAACTCTGAAACTATGTGGATCAGCAGTGACAAAGAATTTCATATTGGCAAGAAAAACCTTATCACTGGGCATGAAGAAGCTTCTAAACGAATTGAATTCTCTCTAATCTCATGACAGCGCCCATCGGCCCACCTCATGTACTTGTCCCTGCAGGTCTCAAGGAACTTTTCTATCTGGGTGGGAGTGATCCGATCCAGCTGGTACAACACACGTGGCTGAAAGAATACAAATCGAAAGGAGAATCTGAAATAGCAGCAACACACCGGAAAAATGATTCAGTGAGCTGTCCTGACAGGACGTTACCTCTGTCGTTCCATTGTCGTTGATGCCATATTTATCTCTGGTTTTCTTGATCTTCTCTGAAACAACTTTGATAAATTTTTTTATTTCCTGAAAAATCAGAATAAAATGGTGTGAATAACACATGTCAATAACGTGTTTTCTACTAATCTGGTAAACTCCAATTTCAGTTTCACTCTGATGTACGCTATGTAGTTACAAATTTAATAAAAGACGCGATATGAGATACCATTTTTACTACAAAGTGGTTTCCAAAACTACTTCTGAAGGGAGACACCTAAGTATGAGGGGCCACCCCTACTTTCATCCTTCTCCAGGATGTTTTCTGTCATGCAGAGGGGATCTTGGGGTCTCAGGAGTTACACTAATGGAGCAATAGCTCTGGCAGGTGCCATCAAGGCAGAAGGGCTACACAGACAGGTTCAGCAATTGAGAACCAAATGATCTCAGCGTGGAAAGCCTCATCAGTGTGCAAACTACAAGGGGACTGAGGAGCTGTGACTTCTTCCATATCATGACAGTAGAAACCACTCTGGCTAGGCTGCTAGAAATGCCATTCTTCTTTCTAAAAAATTTATATATATATATATATATATATATATATATATATATATATATATATACATACACATATATATATATGTGTATATATATATATGTATAACATTTTGTTATTTCCCAATTACATTAAAATGTTTAAACATTTATTTCAAAAGTTTTTGAGTTCCAAATTCTCTCTTTGCTTTCTGCTCTTCCTCTGCCCCTTGAGAAGTACGATACTGAGCATACAAATGAAGTTCTATAAAACATAAGAAGTGTCATTTTTCAGATAGTTTGGAAATCTGCCCTAGGAGAAAGAAGGTTCGGGTTAGGGTTCTTTTCTGCTAGGAAAGCCCACAGGCCAGGCTCATTAGGGCCAAAATTTAGCTGCACAGAGGAACTAACTAAACTATTTGTCCTGTTAACTCTGTTTCACATTCAAATGTATCTTTTAAGATGGAAAAAAAAAAGTAATTTCACATGGATATCTATGATGGTTATTACCTCCTGCACTCATCATTAGGGGGCTTGCTTTATTAAAAATCAATTTAAATATCACAAACCCAAAGACAGCCTTATAGCAACTTCCTTTGTAGGGTTGTAATGCATAAAGTGGGGCTCTGCCTTTCAGAAAGGCACTATTTTCTTTGAACCCCACACAACACTCAACTCCACAAACAACTTAGAACTGCAGAAAGGCTCCTATTAATCAAAATTAAAGCAAACATCTTTAAAATTAGTATATTTGCTAATCAGAATAAAATTTCAGGGCAGCTAGGTGGCGCAATGGATAGAGCACCAGCCCTGGTGTCAGGAGGACCTGAGTTCAAATCCGACCTCAGACACTTGACATTTACTAGCTGTGTGACCTTGGGCAAGTCACTTAACCTCATTGCCTAGCCCCACCCCCCAAAATCTCACAGAATAAAATTTCAGAAGGACAAAAAAAAGTAAGCTCTTATTTTTGGACTAGGCTTAATTATTCTAACTGGAATACAAATTGGGAAAAGTTAAACAACTGGCTTCTCTTTGCATTCAACAAGCTTTTCCCCCAGTGATGTCATCAGGAAACTTTGGTACTGATGACTTTTCACGTGCACCTCCCCCTGGGGTGTGGTCATTGTGCCAAGTCTCCTTATGGGATAGGACAGGCCTTTTACACATCAGTTTCCTGAAAGGCTGTCTAGGTTCTAAATGAAAGCTGCGTACCCAGGTTACTCTACCTTTTGGGTGTGGGGTGGGGTTGGAAACAAGAGGTAAGGTAAAACGGGGCACGTGTTATTTCACCCATAAAGAACCAGAGCACAGCTGCTGCACTTTCAACATGCAGGGCTTTGACAACAGAAAGTCTTTCAGTGGCTCTCTGTGTGGACAAGTTACCAGGAGCAAATTCCTCTAGAGGAAAGGGGTCTGGCATACATGCAATGAAACCAGACATATGCTAGTTGGGGTGGCTAAACCAGCTACACGACTTGGAGTCTACTGGAGGAGACCAGCCTGGCCAGATAAACCACCACCAGCACAGGTGCAATTGTCACTAGGTCCACACCTCCAGCCCGCAGCTCTGCCGTGCTCAAGGCTGCTGACCACACTATTGCAGGAGCACCAGTAACACTGGACAGGACTGGAGTAGATTCCTCATCAAGTGGGGAAGGATTGGCCTAAGCAGGAAGTCTTGGAAATAATGAACTCAACCTTATCTTTTAACAGATAACCTCACCTACCCTTTCCAAAAATGAAAAGGCAAACAAGAAGAAAGGGCGAGACAAGTAAGTCAAATTTCCCAGAAACCAAAGCACAAAAAACAATAGAGAAATCAAGTAAATCTCAAATTCTTATAAATAATCGTAGCTCCCAAGTTAATATAGTTATGCGCACAAGCATGCTAATAGCATTAGCTCACTTGTGCTTTATAACCTGTCTGGGTTAATGTCTTCAAGGACAAATACAAAAAAGTAAATAGATGAGAGAGTAACTATAGTTTGCAAGTCTGAACTAGATCCACTGGAAGAAGGCTAGGAAATGCTCCTGGTTTTACAAGCCATAAGAGTTCACATGTGCCTCCTTTCTCTCTCTACCCTACAATTCATCAATGAAATCAAAAGGAGAGTGTGGTCTTAACCAAAACACTGCCTGTTAAGATTTGCCTCTCTGTGTGCATTCTTAATTTATAGAGAAGTGTGATTTTTTTAAAGCTACTTATCTCTATATTTTGGACACCAACTTGCCTGCTGATTCCATGTTATTTAACCTGCATGTGAGGTAAGAAGAAAAGTTCTTTACAAGAAGATCCTTGTTATCTTATGCCCTGAAGCATATTATCCATGTAATAAGAATAGAAGGAGGTGATGAGGGCAGGTCAATGAAATTCAGCCTTTCCTCATTTTGGACAGCTCAGAGGGCACCTCAAATAACATCTCCCTGTGCATAGGTGGGACCTGGAAAAATGAGGCTACCCAATGTTACGGATCCATAACACTGTCATAAAGATAGCTATCCCATAAGGAGCGGCCTACAAATTCTTCTGTTTTGTTTTTTTGCTTCTTGGTGAAGCCATCAGGGTTAAGTGACTTGCCCAAGGCCACACAGCTAAGTAAGTGTCAAGTGTCTGAGACTGGATTTGAACTCGGGTCCTTCTGATTCCAAGGACACAGCTTGATCCACTGCACCACCTAGTTGCTCCTACAAATTCTTTTGGATGCAGAATCACTAAAAGGGAAAAATAAGAAAAGCAGAGGGGAAGATTTAAGGTTTTTAAAAAATCATTTATTTTCCTTGCCGCATTTTTCTCCATTTAGTAAATGAAATAATGCAAGACCATCCATCTACAGCTCAAGTGAAAGGCATACATAAAAAAGGCAAGAGATCAATAATTCATGTTGGATTAAAAAACTCTGCCCAGGTAAAAAACACATTCATGAATATTTAACCAATGAACATTATACTAAAAAAAAATACTACAAAATCTACTGATTAGTTAGCTCTCAACCAAAACATTTCTGACTGACAATCAAGTTTGGGGAAACCACAAGCATCCAAAACTGCATTTACCTGAAGAAAGCTGTCCTGGCAGCAGAGGAACTCATTTCTCTTCATGATCGATTCAGTCGTTAGCACCAATTCGTTTTTACTGAGGGCTGGTTCACTCTGGCATGGGAAGACTGCCTCAATATTAAAATGGAAGAAAATAGGAGTAGCATTAAATGAGAGAAAAGCTCATGAAGAAACAAGAAAACCAGGCAACCAGCATACACAGATCTAAAAGTTTAGTAACCCATCATTTTGTTTAATTAAACCAGCTATTTCCCTAATCCTAAACACACATAAAACAGAAAATAGGACTATCTTTTGGCTATTGACTTTCTATAAACTGTCCATGGTTCAGCAAGAGCTGAATTGAAAATTTTCTGGTTTTCACAAAATCTAAACTCATGCTCCAGAAGGTGACAGAAAACTGTCAAAGGAAAAAGAACAAGGTTAAGGTCTTCCCCCAGCTCCTGTCTGCTGTAAGTAGGCACCTGCATGTTAAAGCTGCACTCTTGCTTTAACCCCAGCTCCCAATCCAGGACATGTGTTAAATCTTACTTTGATGTTATCAAGCACTCTTTTGAACTCCAAGGGCTCATCTTTTCCCTCCATGGCTGCAGGATCCAAGCCGTCACCACCATAAATAAATTGGATAATATCACCAGTTGAGCTTCGGACAGTAAGGTCATATTGTGAGCAGAGATCTTCAAGAGATTTCACAAGCCTTCTCTAAGGAAAGGATGAAGAAGAAACAAATCAGGGCTGCTGTAAAAGGAATGTGTGTTCATAAAGCGAATTTATTCAAACTTCAATTCCAAACACATAACCATTCACAAGATAAACAGGCTGTCCTAGTCAAATCCATCAAAAACATTCCCTAACCTCCCTAAATTAGAGCAAATAAAAAAAAAAGTTCTCATGACGATCTGTTGGGATTTCAAATATGCCACAACCTACAGCGCTCTCTGTATTTGCAAAGATGTATGGTGACGACACACTTCAAAACGCATACTATTTAAATTTAGTGCTCGGAGTCAGCTTTAACGTTGTCTTCATTTTCCTAGGGTTTACATTAGTGCAACAGCTTTGCAATTAAAAGAAATTTGAGCCAGACTTCCTGTAGGCTCCTATATGCACGACTGAGGACTCCTACATGCAAGAGGGGCTTGCACTTCCTCCTGTCCCTTCTTAGGGACACAGAGAAAAGGAGAGCAGGGATAGCATTGTATTTGGACCAGTATGCAGCAACTCTTTCCAGGAAACTTCAGAATAAAAAATATACCTCGCACCAGATGTTGTACACTGACACACTGCTCTGGGAAATTTATCTTTTCCACACGAAAAAGATAAAGATAAAAAACCAAAAACATATTAAGGCAACAGTGATAAACGCACTTCATAGCCCCTCAGAGCTGTCAAATGTGACTTACATCAAAAAAAACAATTTCTTGTTACAAAATGATTTTTAACGGCATGGCCACGCAACAGAGTATGACTGTGCTGTAAGAAACAGGGAATGTGATCCACATATGGGAAGACTTATATGAGCTGGTGTCAGCTGTCTGGTTTGTGAGCATACACAGCCTGGCCTGCACAGCTCTCTAGTGCTCCCTTGACAAGTCTGTCACTCTGGAACAGTATGCATTCTGGAGGGGGCCCAAAGAGCCTACGGCCCAATTTGCTCATCTAATTGCTGTGCGGAGGGTGGCCTGAGAGGGGAAGGACCTGCCTGCGGCTGGCCAGGTGCCGTCTCTACCATCAGGCCCCTGCTCTGCCCAGGGTGTCTGCATAGTGCCTGATTGGATCAGTCTGAACAAAGGAGCTGGAATCAGAATAGCCACTTTGCTAACAGATTTTCTTTTTAAGCCAAGACTAGATAAATGAAAGTGCACGCATACAATATGTAAATGCACGAGGGGTCTGCCCTTCCTCCAGTTACCTGCATATACCCTGTCTCAGCCGTCTTGACAGCCGTGTCAACCAGTCCTTCCCTGCCAGCCATCGTATGGAAGAAAAACTCCGTTGGTGTCAAACCAGAATAAAAGCTATTAGCAACAAAACCTTTGGCAGCTGGAAGCTACAAAGAAGAGAAAAATAAAGAAAAATGCAGAATTTTAGAGTTGGAAGAGACCTTCAATAGGTCTCTTCCCATCCAAGTGATGGGGAAAGGGCCTGATTTGTCATCAGTCCTGGATAGAACACATGGTCTGCAAGGTCCATTCCAGCTCAAATTCCTAGGAAACCCCTCATGTTATAGATGGGGGAGCTGAGGCTCATAAGTACACTGACTTACCCAATGTCCTACAATAAGGGGCAGATCCGAGTCTAGAACTCGGGTCCCCTGATTCTCAGCCACACTCAGTTACTAACATTCCAACCTCTCTTTCCAAGGCTCATAATTGTAAAACATATCCAAAATGTATATCCACGCCCCCTCCCCTGACATAATGAGGATTCAAGACAACACATACATTGCCTACTGATCCCTAAGCCACAGGTTTTATTCATACTTCTTCCTTAAAGATGAAATAATCTTGCCAGGACCTGGTTAGAATGAACAATGCTAAGGTGCATGTCACACAGCAGTGAGCATACAGCTGTGAAGGTCACTAGATCAATGGTCACCTAAGCGTCTTTTAAAGCATCAAAGGAACTACTCAACGTTGAGCTGAGGAACACTGGGAGCTCAGCAGCTCCAATTTCTGTGGGTGATTCTTTCAGTCCTAACACTTACATCTGAGCACTTGAAAAAAACCCAAGCACAAACACTGATGGTATTTATAATATGTACGTTTCATTAGACCTAAGGCAACTTCAGTTTAATTACTCAGATTTGGGCCGAGTCATTTTTTCTTCTACAGAAAAGCTGTGATACCCAGAGGAATGCAGCTAAGTTTTGTGTGACCAACTCTAACAGGTCCTCACCTACGTGTCTAGTTATGGGTCAAATAGCAAACACCTTCAAAAAACTATTCACTAATACCATACTGAAACCATGTCACCTTGAATTTCACAGACATCGATCTAGGTTCCTGATGGGTTTTCGTGAATCTCACCTGCTCGCATCATGCTTACCTTTGAGTGCTTCTCAAAGTGAGGTAAGGATCTGTTCTCAAAACCATCCGGCACTCGAGAGCCACTGATAGCTTGCTGCCCCACACAAGCAATCATCTGGGATATATTAATGAAAGAACCTAGAAAAGCAGATCAGGAATACAACACGGAAGCTAGATAGGCTCTGACAACAAAAGATATTTTAACTATTTTTGAAAAACACTAAAGTCAGTGTGAAGAGACGCCTGCAGATTTGGCACTGTGCCCAAAAAGCTATCAAATGGCGCATGACCTTTAACCTAGTGATACTGCTACTTGATCTTATACTAAAAAAAAAAAATCAAAGAAAAGGAAAAATGACTCACTAGAAAAATATTCACAGCAGCTCTTTTTGTGGTGGCAAAAAACTGGAAACAGAGAGGGGAATGGGGCACGGTATATAATTGTGATGGAATCCTGTCATGCTAAAAATGATGAAGGGGATGGTTTCAGAGAAACCTGGGAAGAACTGTATGAACTGAAGCAAAGGGAAGAGAGCAGAACCAGAACAATTTATACAGTAACAGTAATAATGAAAAAATAATCAACTCTGAAAGACTCAGCAATTCTGATCAGCACAATAATCAAGTGTAATTCCAGAGGACTCATGACGAAACGCGCTATCCACCTCCAGCTGATGGATTCAGAGGGCTGACTAAGACATATTTTCTTCTCTTTCCTCTTTCTTTTATCTGGACACGGCTAATGCAGGAATTTGTTTTACATGACCACACATATTTATAATGGACTTTGTTTTTCTTGCCTTCTCAATAGATAGGAGAGGAGAAGGAGAGAATTCAGAATGGAAAATAAAATTGAATTAAAAAAAGATACACCTGTAGATTTCTGAGTGAAATTTTGTTCAAAGAGACAGAACTACAGCAATATTTAGATATTATTACAAATTCCTTAAGAGGAAAGTAGCTAATCTTCCCCCCCACCCCATTCTTAAAAAACTAATGACTTTTTTTTAAATGCGAGGCAATTGGAATTAAGTGACTTGCCCAGAGTCACACAGCTAGTGAGTTTGTTATGTGTCTGAGGCTGGATTTGAACTCAGTTCCTCCTGACTCCAAGGCTGGCACTCTATCCACTGTACCACCAACTGCTTCAATGACTTCTTGTTAGTACTGGACCAAATCTTGTCTTAGGAAAGCTGGGAATCATTTGAAGAAGCCCTTTTCCTGGCAGACTTACCTTTAGAGCCACAAAGGGCCATGATAAGGGGACTGTTGCTCTTATCCAACTCTCGGAGGCAAGCACTGCCAGCATGGTCTCGGATCACAGAGAGCTCCTTCAGGATTAATGCCTAGGATTCCCACAGAAGGACAAGACATAGGAGTCTGAGTGGAACATCACTAGGAGTACGACAAACTCTAAAACTGGCCTTTACAGTATCTAAAAGGGAATACTGAATTATCTGGTTTTTTTAATCCAGCTTTTCAAACAAGTCCCAGACAACCTTAAAAAAGACCTGAAGGCTCCCTGGTACATCAATCCGTCTCAGAAATGGACAACTCAGCTGAGTTACGTGGGATCTGTGATTCTGGGGAATCTCTCTACAGCAGAGGCCACCAAGTGCTTTTGTAGTACAGGATATTGTCTGAAAAACTAGAGGGAGAGAGGGAGAAAGGAAGGGAGGGAGACAGAGAAAGAGGGGAGGGGGAGAGAAAAAGAGGGGGAGGGGGGAGAGAGAGGAGAGAGGAAAAAGGGGGGAGAGAGAGAGAAAGAAGAGAGAGAGAGAGAGACAAAGAGAGAGAAGAGAGGGAGTGAGAGAGACAGAGAGATCTGCACCAAATCTAGAGACAGAGAAAGAGGAGAGAGAGAGAGAAGGGATGGGGAGGAGGCGGGGAGAAGGACAAAAAGATGAGACAAAGAGAGAAGGGGAGGGAGTGAAAGAGGAGGAGGGAGAGGCAGAGAAAGAGAGAGCGAGAGCAAGAGCAAAAGCTATTCTTCAAGTTAGGCTGCTGATCTTGGCTACTTAGAGACCATCTCGTCAGAATGTTAACACCTGGCAATTATTCTGATAATGCCAAAGATGTCTGCACCAAGTCTAGGGAGTAGCAGGTAATACGATTATGAAAAATGGGTTCTTTTACACAGCCAGCTCTTTCAAAAACTTTCCATTTCAAAAGCGGTAGAGTCAGTTTCTGCTCTGACAGTGATGATGTGCTGATGTGTCCATGCTGAAGATGAACATAAGCTCTAAGAAACAACTGTAGAATGGGTCCGAAATACTCAGATGAAACAAGAGCAACCCCAAGTGGCCAAACGAACAAACATCTAGGGTTTCTTGACCCTGAATGTTAGACCCAGAAGGGAAATAATCATTAACTTAGAAATAATTTAGTCCTTGCTGTCCACATCAAGAAACTAAGATCTCTAACTGTTAAGGCAACTGGCCCAAGGTTACAACAGGTAGCGGGAGTCAGGACTAGAATACAGGTCTAGTTTCTACCCAAGTGTGGGGCTTCTTCAGCTGTACCATGGTACCTCCTCACAGTCATCATCCAACAGATGCTGCTCCAAATGGAAGCAGAGACAAATCGCCAAGTCCTCACCTCTAACGTCTCCTCCGCGGTGCAGCCAGGCTGCTGCTGCAGTTTGCCTGTGTTCAAGGCTTCGATATATTCATCACATTTTTTGTAGCCAGCGTTCAGTAACTCGTACTTGGCCTTTAGCAGTCCTTGGCCTGGCGTGACATCGCCGATTCCAATGGAGAAGCCTCGGTTAGCTGCAGTGCAGAGAACAAGGTGTAGACACCATGGATTTCATTTAGTAAAATACTATGCGGATGTCAATGCACAGAATGTCTTCCCATTTTTAAAAAAAGTAAGTACAATTTTACAGAGAAATAGGTGACTGCTCAGTTGATTTTAGCTACAGACATGAACAGTTTTATCCCAGTATAAGTTCACTTTTGAAGAAAGCCACACTGCTAAAATAGTGAGAACAGCAGTTTTCCACCTGCCACTTTCGTTAGCCTTCCAGCGTGGAGGTATAATGTGTGGATTATTTGTTATTCACATTGATTTACCTGCAGGGAACCCTGAAGTACTCACAGAGATAAACGGGTGCCAGCCTGGCGAGCCGTGACATTGCATCAGCAGCTTCAATCTGCCCCCAATCTCTCAGCAAAATGTAAAAGATGTTGTTCTTGGATCCGGATCCTAATGTTCCTTTGTCCATGCTGCCACTCATTAATTCACTGTTCTGGATGGTCACATCTACAAGCACAAACGTTAGCAATGAAGGCTCCCTGTGCATGGTTAGGAGAGCCTGTCACATCTACACGTCTATGGCTAACGTAGTCAGTGAAGGCCAGAGGGTTCTCCTCAAAGATTGTCTTTTCTAGGAAGTAGGGAAGAAAAGGACTTCAGTGTTCCAACCAGTTTATTTAAATTGAAAACTAAAAGCAGTTCCACCACCCATACCCCGAAAGTACAAGAACAAATAGATAAGGAAAGAGCCAAACATTACCATAACCACCCAGTCAAAGGGGGCAACAGTGAGAAAGGCCAGGAGCTGTCACATTAGAGCTGGGGGAGGGGAGGCATCTGGCTCTAAGACAACCTTTCAAGGACTTGAAATTCAAACCCTTGGCCACAGAAGTTGGGCTCGAATGTGAATGCCTTCCTGGATAAGGCTACATAGAATAATGGGATTTAGAGAGAGAGAGATCTCATCTATCCCTTCATCTGTAAGATGAAGGAAATGACTTAAAGAGACATAGGTCATACATGCAATAAGTAGACTCTAAAACCAGGGTTCCTTCTGCTCCTGGTTTTTAATTAGCAATGTGTGCTAACAATATGTCTGGAGCTTTTAGGGGTTGCAATTTACTTTCATTTTAATTGAAGCCCATGAAAGCCATGAGAACACGCACACACAAACACATGAACACACACACACACACACACACACACACACAGAGTATTCTTTGTCAACTCATCTTCTTAGGCAATAACAAAAACCTTAAACTACTTAACACAAACAGTATAAACTATGGGGTCCTGGTTAATTCCAGACTTTGGCGGACGGGAATTAAGAAGTTCTTGATGTTTATGGCAATTATATATTTAGTGAAAAATACATTAACTGTGAGCTGTAATTCTGTAGTCTTCTCCAAGATGAAGACTTGCAGTATTGTAGTCTAACAGCAGGAATGAGAGAAAAGCACATACCTTGTCTGAAGGCTCAGGGAAACTTTCAAATGTCTCCTTTTCAACCTCATTTTTTCAATGGACCACTTGCCTTTTCCCCTCCCTAGTCCATGGACACTAAGGAGCAAGCCTGGGCCTAACTCACAGGAGTCGTTAACGCAGAGGTCCTCTCCGCGGCCGCAGTACTGCTTGCCCTTCGTTCGAAGGTTGGCTCTCACGGGATTCTCATCACTGGGCTGAAGGATGAGGCTGAAGACTTGTTTTCCAGTCCACAGGGTAACAGGCTGAGAGTGGAGAAGATCAGGAGAAAGCACCAGCCAGCTTAGAGTACTCTCATTACATTTTGCCAAGTAAAGAAATCATGAATGTATTACACCAGCCAAAGTGGCTCCAAGTTCAAATCCCCCTGTGCCTGGCTACAGACATAATTTACAGGCTTAGTTAGGTTACAAGACAGTCTAACAATAAACACATGTGAGTCAACAGTTCTAAAAACCAACCTTTAGGATTGTTGGGGGTGGAAGGCGAACTTTAATTTTCTCATCCTTGCCAACTAGAATGGAAGCAATGATCTGACAAGCTTTTGCTCGATCAAAGAAAGTATCTTTAAGAGTAAGAAGATAGGCACCTAGAAGTTTTAAAATATAAAAAAAAATAGTAGTTAGTGGAAAAAACACACTGGTCACATTTTAAGATAAATCTTGGAGGTCACTAAAAAAAATATTTTAGGCATTTGCACCGATAAACCAACTAGTTAAAACAGCCAACATTTATGCAGTGCTTTACATTTTACAAAGTACTTTTCCAACGAGTGAAGAACAAACTCAAACCACAAAGACACCCAGCCAACCAGGAGTCACAAGACTTGGGTTCCAGCATCAGCTCACCCATTATCTAATTTTGTGACACTGGGCAAATCACTTTCCCTCTACTGGCCAGTTTCCTTGTCTCTAAAACGAGGGAGTGGAAATAGACAATCTATATGATTTATCTTAGCTCCAACATTTGATAGTTTAAAGAACCTATGTACAAAATGCAGTGGTGATTATTTTGAAAATACTTTATACAAAAACAAATCACTTGAATACCTTATGCTATCTGCCATCTCCCTGCCCCCCAAACGTGCACGTGACACACCTGTCAAGAAATCCTGAATAGCAGCAATCAGTGGCTCCCCATTTCTTGGAGTTACCAGGTTTGCTTTTGTCTAAAAGAGAAAAATATCAAATGCACCATAATTCACCCAATGTTAGAAATCATTTGCAACAATTCCTCAAAAGGTTTATACAAGTAATGTTTCCTTTTCTTCATATTGTATAATTAATTACTTTTTGTTACCTATTCTTCAGTAACCATTCCAAAAAATCAATTCTTTGAATGATGAAAAAGTGTTGTTTTTTTTTTTTTGAAGTCCAAACAATACCTTTTTTTTAAATTTTAAAGCATCACTCAGACATATCTGCTGAATTCTCTTTGGCTAACAGGCCACACCTCTTCTAACTAATGAAAGATTTAGTTGTTTCAGATAGATACTCTCCGCCATTACTTTTGAAGCAAAAGAATATACAACAATTGCTTTTTCTCTCTAGTCTCTATTTTTTTGAGACTGGGACTCTTCATCTTGCGTAGGCTGGCAGTACACCAGTCACTCATGGGCATGATCCCACTACCAATTGGTACGGAAGCTCTGACCTGCTCCATTTTTCCTAGTATAGTTCTCCGTAAGAAGCCTAGCGGCCCTCCCTTGCTCTTGGGGGCTCCCCATGTTTGTGCTAGATTTAGTCTGGATACCTGATTGGTTTGTAGCCCTACTGCAGCCTGGGACTGCCAAGTTTTACTGATCCACCAGCTCCACCAATAGCAGGGATTACAGGACTATATCACCATTCTCGGCCTCCCCAGCCTCTATACATGAAACTCTACCTGTTTGATTTTGGCCAATGGCTATCATGGGGGAAAAAAGAGGCTGGTTCCCTACGGATCATGGCCATTTTAAACAGTTATCTTCAAGAAGCACCCAGGTTCAATGTCACTTCAGTGTAGTGGGAGGAAGATGATGTCCTTGGGCTTCCAACCCCAACACAAATGGCTCATCAGTTCCTAAGCCTCAGTAAAGAAACACAGCGGCACTTCACCAAAAAGGAAAAAAAAAATACTCCTATCTACAGCACTTTTACCAAGGAATATTCCTGTTACAAAGGCAGGAAGTCTGTTAGTTACTGGCATTGCTTAGAATCCACGTTACATTCCCTATCGGAAAAGTACAGTAAATGGTCAGTTTTCCAAATATGTAACACATATCTAGCTCACTTGTCTCGAGGTCCCTTTGCTCATAATCTTTTTTTTTTCCTGGTGGGGCAATTGGGGTTAAGCGACTTGCCCAGAGCCACACAGCTAGTAAGTGTTATGTGTCTGAGGACAAATTTGAACTCAGGTCCTCTTGACTCCAGGGCTGCTGCTCTACCCACTGTGCCACCTAGCTGCCCCCATCTTTGCTCATAATCTTAATTAGGGTTGGGGGGGGGTAAGGACATAGTGAAGAACTCCAAAAGGGAATACAAAGATATGATGTACCTTTTTTTTTTTTGCTTTCTGGTGAGGCAATCAGGGTTAAGTGACTTGCCCAGGGTCACACAGCTAGTAAGCGTCATGTGTCTGAGACTGGATCTGAACACACATCCTCCTGACTCCAAGGCTGGAGCTCTACCCACTGCGTGCTGGCTGCCCCAATACGATGTACTTTTAATCATGGAAAAGCCCCTAAAGCCTTCACTCAGAGTCCATTTACCTGTTTTAGACACAATTCTAACGAGCTTGATTATCTGGTTTTCCGAATGACAGTGAATGAGAAGCAGTCAATTAGAAGCATGTTCTGTCTGTGGGTGGGGTAGGGCAGCTGAAACCTCAGAATATGACAGAGGATAAGAAGGGACTGCTGTTAAAGGCAAGTACACAGAGTAACAACAGGAAGATTAGAGAGGAGAAAACAGGTAACATTATAGAACACGGGCAGAAGTACATACTCTAAAAATATGGAGTCATTTTGTGAAGGGGAAAAAGCCTATATACGTTAACAGCTTCTGAGGGCATCACTGGATAATAAATAATGCTCAGTGATGACAAGATTAAAATGTCATAAAGAAAAGATTTTTTTGTAGCCAGCAGATTCTCTTTTAGAAGGTAGAAAAGGGCAGAAAGTATTTTAGAATTAGGTCCAACCATTCAAATAAAACAATACTGGAGCTTAAAAGGATAAGTTATATGGAAACTTCATTTATGTGGAACCTCTTACTTCCTGATGAAACTAAATAAACGAGGACATATAATGACAAGAGGCATCAAGCATGGCCCGGCAGACAGAGAGACAACGTCAGGCAGGAGAACATGATTCCAATTCCATTTGACACACATACTCTCTGTGATGCTGGGCAAGTGACTTAACCTCTTAGACTTAAGTAACTTAATCAGTCCGTAAGACTGTAAGTAGATGACTACACTGGGAGAGGGAGTGTTCTCACTGGGAATCCCTTATCTCAATGAAATCACAGATCTAAAAGACATCAAAAAACAATCTGGCTTTTGTAACTGTTGCTGTGGTTTTGCTCTATTTTCTCTAAGGAGCCATCTGCAACGATTGGGGGGGGGGAGGAGGCAGGAATGTTACTTCTGATAACCTTTCAAATCCTCCTAACACCCAAATGTGGAACATGTATTACAACTAAAATCACCAGCCAGTTTCACAAGGGGAGGACAAACGCCAAGGGGAGATAAAGGGCAAGGCTGATTAATAGCTAAACTAGGAAGAGAAACCATGTGGCTTGCTGGGCTCCTGTCTGTTCCTGAGAAAGCCTTTAGAGAAGTCCATGCAGAAAAGCGTCCGTCTTCTAGGGAATATGCGCTGCTGGACAAACGCTGGCATCCCACTTACCCCCATCAGAACAAGCGCCTCTGCTTTAGCTTCTTCAGTTTGAGGAAGATGAAGGTTCATTTCATCTCCATCAAAATCAGCGTTGTAGGGTGTGCAGACACACTCATTAAATCTGAAGGTCCGGTGGGGTTTTACTCTTGCCTACAAAAAGAAAAGTAGGTTTCGTGAATGATATGTTTTCTTTTAGACTAAGTCAATTCATTTTAAAATAGTTCTCCCCAAAATGGGATGCTCTGGCTCTTAGAAATGGATTTCTGGTTATTCGATGAAGTCACCGATGTTACTTATGTTACATTTTCCTTCACGGGGTTAAAAGAGTTCAGAGCTGGAAGGTTCCTTGAAGACTACAAAATCTAACTCCATGATTTTATAGATGAGACAAAAGGTCACTCACATGTGGAGTAAGCAGCACAAACTCAGGTCCTCCTATTCCAAATCCAGTGTTCCCCCACTAAACCACAAGGCCCAATAGCAATTTTCAAGGAAGTCTATTAGAGTCAACCAAAATGTGAATTTGTCACTATTTGGAATGAGAACTGAAATACTCATTTTTTTTAAAATGTGAAAAAAAAAAAAACCCTCCCACCTCACCAACCAAACACTAATCCTACACATATCTTAAATTTTTTTTTTGGTTGTTTAGCACCAAGTGATGTATATACCTTTGAAGAAGTGGATTAAAAAAAACCCCAAATCTTTAAAAGGCTGCTTACACAACCCTTTACAAATCATGTGCACATTATAATGAATTCATAAATTTAACTTCTTCAAAAACAGAAGTTTTTAAATATTTTATGAATCAGAGCTGCAGTTCTCTTATACTTTAAATCTTAAAAAATATTACCACTGTCATTGTGAAGCCAATTAAAAAATAAACAAAGGAGCCAATGTCTTAGTTAAAGGAGTACTGAAAAGATAAACTGTTTCAAGAACCATGGCTTCTAAGCCTATTAAAATAAAAAACTTCAAGAAATAAAATGAATTTTCTGCTATTTCATTACATAGAGTTTCATGCTCTTTGGTCCATGAGATTATTCCAATAGTTTTTTTCAACCACTGCCTCTTTATTTATTGCCTCAAGATAATAACGTGGTGTCAAAATTCACAGCACTGAAAAGAAATTGAAGTTTCAGAAAACCAAAAAGGAGGGTGAGGGAAAAGTTGGGAAAATGTGTTGAGATTATTATGTCTACTGTAGGAGCCAAGAACTTGAGGTTCTGTGCTGCAGTACATTTACAAGAGGGCTTCCACTGAACAGAAAAGAGTCATTCTATACTCACTAAGTGAGCCATGATGCTCAGTTTGTGCAGTGAGGGCTGTCGATTGAATAACACCACGTCACCATCTATGAGATGTCTCTCCACAATGTCACCATATTTGAGCTCTTGGGCCATCTTCTCCCGATTTCCATACTTCAGGAACCTTATGACAAAAGTCATGATTTCTGTGAAAGAAGTTCAAAGGACTTTCCCTCCCAAAACCAAAGCTTAAGAGTTATTAATAGCAGCCTATCCCATCCATGACTTTTTTCACATATGGGGTCTCCCAAGAAGGAAAGAACAATTAACCTGGAGTTCATCCTCTTTGGCAGATCTAAGCAACTGAAACATGCTGACTGTGTAAGAATTCAGAAGGCTTAGGTTTTCTGTAATAGTTAATACATTATTATATTTTTACTGTTTGAATTAAAAAGAAAAGTTTGCTATTGAATAACTGATCCACCAACGTATATTTTAAGGTCAAAGATGATAAACGAAATATATTTTGTTACAGGGCAAATACAATACCAACAATACCACATTCCAATATTTAAAAATTCTTAAGCTCAAATACAGCACAAATTTCATGTGGTCAAATAAAGAAATGAAAAATTCCAAATTCTGAAATTAAGTTCTGTGGCTGAACACTGTAACACTTCAGTTATAGAACGTTAACCATCACAAGGCAGACAAATCTAGTCAAAAGACAGTACCTTTTCATTTGCATGTGCCGTTGCTGAATGAAATTGGCTCCTGGGTGAATTTCAGGACCATTTCTAACGAGTTTCCTCATAAAATTGATGTTTGCTTTATTTACCTGTAGGACCAAAATGAAACAAAGAAAAAGAGAAATTCTTTTTTATGAATGGTCTGATTTTCAGGTTTCTGTTGATTCGGCTACTAATTTTTATGTTCTTTATACCAAACAATAATTAGAAAACAGACTACCCCAGGCAGTCTACTTCCAAACTCCTTGAAAAGTGGCCAAGATGTCTAGTGAAAAGTTTATTATGTGTATCTGGTATTAAAACATGTTAAATGCATGATTCCAGCATTACAATCTTTTTTTTCTGCTTGACATGTACAGTGGTATTAAAGAAAATCACAACAGTTTTAATGGAGAAACTAAATGATACAGACTCTTAGCTGGTTCTTTCAAACATGTCTCTGACCTAGTGTTAATTATGAACCACCAGGAAAGAAATGGACTATTATTTTCCCAGTATTATTCCAGAGATATGTCTAGATCACTATTTAAATTGCCCTTACAACCATAAAATACAGAACATACATTTCCCTGGGGCAGTTAGGTGGCACAGTGGATATAATGCCAGGCCCAGAGTCGGGAACAGTCATCTTCCTGAGTTCAAATCTGGCTTTAGACACCTCCTAGCTGTGTGAGAAATGGCAAACCACTCCAGTATCTTTGCCAAGAAAACCCCATAAAGGGTCACAAAGAGTCAGAATGACTGAAACAACTACAAAATACATTTTCCTTGAGTCAAACACAATGGATGACTTTTTTTTTTTGCTTTTCAGTGAGGCAATTGTGGTTAAGTGACTTGCTCAGGGTTACTACACAGCTACTAAGTGTTAAGTGTCTGAGGTCACATTTGAACTCAGGTTCTCTTGACTCCAAGGCCGGAGCTCTATCCACTGTGCCACCTAGCTGCCCCAATGGATGATTTTTTATAAGGAAAATAAATGAAGTAAGTAGTTTGACAGTGCTCACCTTCTCAGGAAAGGTTAATATTTTGGCCACATGAACTGGCACGGCTACTTCGTCTATTCGAAGATTGGGGTCAGGTGAGATGACTGTTCTGCCAGAAAAGTCTACCCTTTTTCCGGAGAGATTTCCTCTAAAGCGACCTTAAGAAACAAAAGGGAATGACTTGAGTTGGTGTGGTGGGCTCTTTTTTCCAAGTAACTATGATCACTACGGCTCTTATGGAAATGGCAAACATAGTTTAATTAAGGCCTAAACACCTTCCTGGCTCCCATCCTCACCCACGAGACTTTCCCACCACTTCTCTAGCAGCTTTCTCTGCCTGCAGACCCCTCTACCCTTGATAGTAGAGTGCTTGGCCCTGCCAAAGCAGGGTTGTTTTTCTTCCAGCTCTACTCCTCTCTCTCTGGACTCTACTCCCAGCTCCCTGGCCACGTGGCCCTGCCCAGGTACCTACATGCCACCCTCTGCTCCAGTTCCCTCTGATATGATGCCTTCCCCCATCTGAATACAAGCTCCTTGAGGATAGGGACTGTCTTTTTGTTTGGGTTCAGATGCCCTGCCCTCAGTCTGGTGCCTGGCACACAGTAAGCTCTTAATATTGTTAAGGGCGGCTAGAGGGTCCTCTGAACTGGTCTTTCTGAGCTGCCATATCTTCCAGAAACACTGGACCCAGAGCCTGCAGGAGGCCCTGAATGTGTCAAGGACGAAGCCTTCCTCAGCTGACACAATTTGTTGTTTGCACCCCAAGCTGGATTCCCTGTGTGCCTTGAGAGGCAAGACGGGTGCCAGCCAGTCTGTGAAAAACGCCTGTGCAGCTGGGGTGCTTTGCAGATAATCGGACCCTCTTATCTTCATAATCTAGCAGTTCCCAAGGGAAAAGAAGGCAGTCAGCTGCTGCCTTTCTGGCTCTTCTCCTTAGGAGGGATTACTGTACTTTCCCTTCCCATGCCACGCCCCTTCCTGTTTTCTCCTCCTCTTTCTGTTTTATGGTCACAGACATGCAAACTCCTCTAATGACCATGAACTCTTTGGGTTCCACATGCATGTCCACTGCTCTTGTAATAAATCTGGTTTTCACATAAGTCTTGTGACATTGTGATTGCCTGTTGACAAGACATGTGTGTTACTGAACTGAGAAAGAGGAGATAAAATGAGACCTACCTTGTTTTCCTTTCAACCGCTGAACAAAACCTCTGGTCCATTTCTTAGGTGCCATATTGAGGGGTATGCCTGAGAGTTCACTGTTGATGTAGAGGGCACACTGGAGCTGCAGGAAGTCCCAGTCTTCCATGATCATCTGTGTTTTGGCACCTGATATCCGATGCTGAAAATCAGAAGAGCATAAGCAAAAGTACACTGGTTTCTTCTAGTTTTACACAAACGTGCTCTAATCTTCCCAGAATGTTCTGTAGCACTAACCTTTTTGATAACATCATTAAGGAAGATGATTTCTGTCAATTTCATGGTCAAGTCATCTTCATTTGTGCCAGACTTCAGATCACTCACGACAGAGGGCCTGATGCACAAAGGAGGCACCAAAAGGCGCGTGAGAATCAAGTCGGAAGGCTTCCCTGCTTCTGGGTTCATTAGAAGGAGAGGGATATCTTCTGCAGGGATTCTTTTAAATAAGTTCAGGACCACCAAGGGATTCAAGTTTTCCTGTAAAAAAACAATCACAGGGTAGATCAGAAGCACCTACCTCAATATGCCACAGCCTTGTCTCTACTCTACTTCGTTTCTTCTCCACCCGTTTCTCCTACCACTTATTTAGAAAAAAAAAAAAGGAAACCAGATGTGAGTTTCCCTATTCAGAAAGTACTAAGGTAAAATCGATTTTCAGCAAAGCAGCAAGAACTTACTTTAAGGGTCCGACAGCTACACAAAATCATGTGGCCATAGTCTCAGAAGCTCAGGCTTAGTCAGCTTTCGAGAAATGTATGACTATGAAAAGTATTCCACTTTTACCAGGTTTTCTATAAATATATGACTGTGAGGGAGAAGGTGTTTGCTATAAATGGACTTCAGCGTTTTGGTCTAATTATATGAAAATATTTACTGAGTGTCTACTAGAAATAAAACCATAGACATGGTGCAGGGAAAAAGAATCAAAAGAAGTAGAAATGGCTTTTGTCCCAGTGAAGTAAGTGCGCAATCCAGTGAAGCAGACCATATACTTGTACGTTTAAGATATGAACATAATGTTTAAAAAATAAAGAATTAGGACTAATAAAAATTAGGGAAGGATTGTAGGTTTCAAGACATATCTAAGTGTTTACTGGATTAATTTAATCGGCATTAGAGTAATAATGATACCTTTGTATGGTACATTTCTTCACGCAGTTGAAAGTTTTGTATCAGGTTTAATCCTCTCAATCTTTCGGTATGAAGAATACAGTTATTTGCCCTTTCACAAGGAAGTTAATGAACTTGGGAAGTCCTGCTGCTCAATATTACCCCACAATCACAAACCTGTGGTGAAACGATACCCCTCCCGCAGAATCTATTAAGTAGGGCAAGATCAATCAAGAAGTGCTCAAACACATCTATTACAAGCGTTTATGCAGTCCCTGCTATATACCTGGGGCTGTGCCAGCTGCTAGAGGGCATATGGGAAGAACAGAAGACAAAGTCTCCACCTTCCAGGAGTTTTCAATACGGTCAAAAAGACATGACTAAAAGATGGGCAGGAATCTGCCTGTCAAAGAGAAGGAAAGCAGGCATTTCAGGCTGAAAGGCACGAGTCTTTGTTTAAGCAAAGACAGAGAAGGAAGAATTGGTACGACAAGAGAGAGACTATGAGGTTAGCTTTACTGGAAAGGAAGGTCTGTGTTCAGAATGAGAGGACATGAGGGCATGAGGGGAGGGCCAGATTACGGAGGATCTTGAAAGGGCAGGGGTTTAGACCTGCTACATTAGGCAACAGGAACCAACTGTCCCTGCTTAAGCATGGGAGTCACAAAACAGATGGGCTGTTTTCTGGAAACTTCATTGGACAAGGAAAAAAGTGAGCCCTGAAATGCTTCTGAAAGGGACAATGGAACACAGGTTCAGACCCCAGGCCTGCTATTTACCTATTTTCGGACCTGGCTGATAGGAGGTAATCTAGCAAAGTCCCTTTGCTCCTCTGTGCCACAACTTTTTAATGTGAAAAATTAGTAGAATGGGCTACATACTCTCTAATGTTCCTTCCAGTTCTAAAGGCTTGTAATAAAACTCTATTTAGCCCAGAGCTCAAATCCTTACATACGGATGAAGGTAATACTTGTATATCCTCTCTCAGGGCCGGTATGAGGCAACAACAAAGCACTTTCCTGCTCCAAAGCTCTCTATACATGAGGGAATCTTATCTTTCACTGTCAAAACTAGCAAATAATGGGCCCCAAGGTGGGTGAGTTATAGCCATCTCATTCAGCATTCTTACCAAAAAGGAATAGAAAATAATGGAAGTGAAATCAGCACATGACAGGACAGTTCACAAGAAGGTCCAGATAGGGATTTCATCTGTCTGGGAATTCCCTATGTGAAAAGTTCCTCCACTGATATGATCAGCAACTCACAGTCTTCAAAAACCTTGTCCTGGGCACTAAGAAGTGATGGGACTCTCCAAGGGTCACAGAGACTGAATCTCAGGCCGGACAGAAGGCCTCCTGACTCCAAGGCCTAGTCTCCATCCTCCATAGCACCCTTGTTCTCTGCCTATTCTCTAATGAACTATACTAAATACACTGGTTATTGAACAAACTCATTCCGTAGGTCTTCTTCACCACCTGGGATCATACAGAAGTTGTGTATGACCACAACCAAAAGGACGGTGCTGCATGCATTCTCAGGCTCACCTGTGCTCTCCCGAGCAGGGGCTCTACTTCTTTGTTATATTCAATGGCGGTTTCAAATGACTGAAGGAAATTAGACACAACAGGATCTACTACTTTTTTATTGGTCTTGTACTTCTCGTGAATTATCTTCAACAAGCCACATTTCTTCACAGTACCTACAAGATGAATTTTGGTTTTTAAAACTCTACTAAATTATGCTTTTCTGGCTGACTTGACATGAGTAATAAAAGGGAAAACATAAAAATATCAAAGTCTTTTCATTATCAAAGGTCAAATTATACTACAGGCTATACTTTAAAATAGAGAAACCTTGAATGGTAAGTTCTGAATCTGAGTGGTTATCATACCAATTCAGGGGCAGCAAGGTAGTGCAATGGATAGAGCACCAGCCCTGGAGTCAGGAAGACTCATCTTCTTGAGCTGAAATCTGGCCTCAGATATTTACTAGCTGTGTAACCCTAGGCTAGTTACTTAACCCCATTTGCCTCACTTCTCATTTGTAAAATGTGATGGAGAAGGAAATGGAAAACCACTCCATTTCTTTGCAAAGAAAACCCCAAATGGGGTCATGAAGAGTTGGATATGACTGAAATGGCTGAACGACATAGTAATTCAGACAACACAATTTCATCATAGGCGACAAAAAGGAAACTGATTAAAAGGGAACCTTCAGGAAACACATTTAGCACCTGCATTCATGCACGGATTTGCTTTCTGTTCTCACATTCTTCATCCAAATTAGTCATCAGTATAAACCAGGTAACCAAGAAAGCTTGGGAAGCTAAAAACTCCCAACTCTAAACCCAACAACTGAAAAGAAGCAGCAGTGTGGCTTAGAACAGAAATAACAGAATCTTAAGAGTTCAGAGTGACTAAGGAGGCCAGCCCTGAATCCTGACTGTCTCCTCTGCCACCACATCTCCTAGTGGTCATCCAGCCACTTGGGAACACTTGCACTGAAGTGTTCATTATCATCAAGGCCATCTATTCCACTTTCAGAGTGCTCTAATTCAGGAAAAGTTCTTCCTTTTACACAGCCAAAATCTACTTCCTTTGTAACTTTTACTAGATCTCCACAGAGTAAGTCTAATCCCTCTTGTGGATAACACCCCTTTCAAATATTTGAGGGCATGTGCCTCCCCTCCCCCCACTCCAATTTAAATTTCCAGGTTAAACAAATATCCCTATTCAGTTCTAATGTTATTCATATGACATCATCCTGGGCATTTTAAAATTCAACACAGGACTCATGTCCTGACAAGACAAAGCACAGTGGGACTGTTACCTCCCCCTTTTCCGGGACACTATACTTTTTGATCCATTTATCAACATACTTGGTATGGTAATTCAATTGGCTCAAATCCACCCAATTGCACTATTAACAACCCAAATTTCTCAACATCATGAGAAACTTTTGTTAAATACATTATTGAAATGAAGACTTTTAAAATTACTTTTTATTCTGAACTTGAACCAAAAAGAAGTATATCCACATATACAGAACATGAAATGATTGAATATGAAGGAACGAATCCCCGTTTCCTATCACTTGCTTTATTAAAAAGATATATGTATGTATGTATGTATGTGTGTGTGTGTGTGTGTGTGTGCGTGTGTGTGTATAAATATAAAATAAATCCTACACATTACTTTCAAAATCCTTGCTTGTCTGTGCTTCCTTCTGAACCCTCTTTGCTTCTCTCCTAGGCATTTTAAGAAGTATTTCAATGAATGATCCAACCATTTTGGAGAGCAATTTGGAACTATGCCCAAAGGGCTATAAACATGTGCATACCCTTTCACCCAGCAATAGCACTTCTAGGGCTGTATCCCAGAGAGATCATACAAATGGGAAAAGGACCCACATGTACAAAAACATTTATAGCAGCTCTTTGTGTAGTGGCAAAGAATTGGAAATTGAGAGGATGCCCATCAATTGGGGGATGGCTGAACAAGCTGTGGTATATGAATGTAATGGAATACTATTGCGTTATAAGAAATGAGCAGGTGGACTTCAGAAAAACCTGGAAAGACTTGTATGAACTAATGCTAAGTGAAGTGGGCAGAACCAGGAGAACATTGTACACAGTAAAAGCCACGTTGTGCGATGACTAACTTTGATGGACTCAGCCCTTCTTGGTAATCTAAGACATCTCCAAAAGTCTCAAGATGGAAAATGCTATCCACATCCAAAGAAAGAACTATGGAGTTTGAATGCAGATCGAAGCATACTATTTGCTCTTTTTTTCCCTTCTGTTTTGTTTTGTTTCCTCTTTCTTGTGGTTCCTCCTATTGGTTCTAATTCTTCCTTAGAACATGACTAATGTGAAAATATGTTTAATAGGAATGTATATGTAGAATCTATATCAGATTGCATGCCATCTTGGGGAGGGAAGTGGAGAAGGAGGGGGAGAAAAATGTAAAACTCAAAAGTTTATGGAAGTGATTGTTGATAAATCAAAATAAATCGACAAAAATAAATAAATAAATGAAATAAAAAGTATTTCAATGGCCCCTTCTTTTTGGCATCATTATTGCTAATTTCTCCCCACCCACGACCCCCCAATTAAAAAGCCTGACAAATAAGCATCCTCAAGCAAAACTAATTCACCCAATGGTTGTGTTGAAAAATGTATGTTTCTTTTCCCACCTTTACCTATCTCTTCTCTATCAGGAGCATTACATACTTTGTAATAATTCCCTAGACACACAATTGGTGAGTTTTAAAGTCTTTCACAGTTGTTTGAAATCCAGTCTTCACCAACAGAAAAATTACCACCATGCCCGAAAGCACACACCGAGATTCTGGCGGATTCCAGTCAATGGGGGTCTAGAGGAAACCTCCCCACAGGCTCATCATGATCTATGAGGCAATGTTAGATACTACTCTGCCCACCCAAACAGGCACCACAGGCTCATGCCTTTATTTCCTGTCTGACCCCTAAGCTTGGAATGCTCCCCCTCCTTCTCCTGACTAGCTACATTATTACCTGTTTAAAAAAAACCCAACAACCTGGGAATGTGTCCTCCCCAGGTGGGGAAAGGTGCTGCTTCCTGAGACTTTACCTAGTACCCTTTCGTAATGAATGCACTCACCATCTAACAGAGTACCATAGCTGTCTATTGGTAATAACTCTCTCCTTAGCTAAACTTTTTACGGTGTGACCTATATCTAATCTAAAAGTTCTACTTTCTCAGCAAGCAGCCTAGTCCACTGCACAAAGGAAGCAGCCGGGGGTGCAGCGGACAGATGACCAGGCCTGGAGCCAGGAAGACTTGCATTCAAAACCCACCTCAGACACTTCCTAACTGTGTGACCTTGGGCAAGTCACTTAACTGCTTTGTACCTCAGTTTTCTCATCTGTGAAAGGGGATAATAACAGCACCTACCTCCCAAGGCTATTGTGAGGATCAAATGAGTTAACACATGTTAACATGTTAGCTTGGCAAACCTTAAAGTGCTACACAAATGCTGGCTAGCTACTATTGACTTCATCATCACCACTATCATCATCATTATCATCATCAATGTTCTATTTCTGGAGAAGGCTTTGTGTCTGAAGGGGCTGGAAAACAGGACTTGGGCTGAATGATAGTGAGGAAATTCTCCAAGAGACCTGGAGGGCTCAAGGCTTGTAAAGGGAGTCAGAGATTAAATATGGGAAGAATCTTTGGAAGACCCTGGGTAAAGGTAAAGGAAATGATTAGAGCTAAGGAGAAGGGACCAGGAGGGCTAGGATCAAAGGAGGAGCACTCCAGAAGAAAGTCATTGTTGGCAAACCAAGATAGCTGAGACAAGAAGATGCTGTGAAGGCATCCATGGGCATCACTCTTGAGTGGTCTTGGGCTTCTCTGATGGTAACAAGGGAGCCCAGGAAGGATCTTGAAATGGTGAGGAGTGAGTGTGCAGCACTGACATTTCTGCCAGGACCAAATGACTGCCAACCACCCTCTCTGAAGAGAAGCTAAAGGGATGTGAAGAACATCTCTCCCCATCTGAGGTCACCAGTGCAAGGAGAGGCCATGCTTTGGAAGGGTGGGGAAGGCAGAGGCAGAAGAGACACCTTTAAAGGCAGTGTGAAAATGTCACTTTGGGTCACCAAGAGAAGAATGGAAGGCCACTGGCACAACTGGAGCTCCAAATACACCTGAGGTTATTCCCGAAGAGGCAGGCCCTTCAGACACATGGAGGAGGCAGGGTGTCCTGCAAGGAATGCTCAGGCAGTCGAAAGATCACTGAAGAGGGGCACTGAGGCAGCTCCTGGTCATCTCTCCAGGGAAGAGGCAGCAGAGCACTGCCCAAGATCTGTCCACTTAAGTAGCTATTGCTTCCCTTTCGATATTGCTGGAAGAAACCTAGCAGACACAGCCAAAGAGGAGGCTTTGGCAAAAAGAGGCATTGGCGGTTATTTCATGAAGGCAAGGGATGAACAGGAGAAAAGTAGATCTAGGAAGCAAACATTAGGAATAGGAGCCTGATTTCTGGGTAACAGATTAAAAGCAGAATAACAGACTCCCAAGCCAGGGACGCACTGTACCTAACTAACAAAGGCTGGTAAAGATGTATTTGCTAGGGTCATGAAGGAAAAGGAGATTAACTGAAATAATGACTACTTTCAGGAAAACTGGAGATGTAAAATTTATCCATTTTTCTGTATGTTACCAGCGAAACCCAGCAGTAAGAGATAGAAAGAGAAATTCTACTTAAAATAATTACAGAATGCATAAAATACTTGAGATTCTACTTGTCAGGACACACAGAAACTACATGAATACAACAATGGAACTCTTTATAGAAAGAAAGATAGTCCAAAGTAATTGAAGAAATATTAACTGCTCACAATTAGCCTAAGCCAATATAACAAAAATGATAATACAACCTAAAGTAATTTAGTTGTTCAGAGCCAAAGCAATCAAACTACCAAAGAAGTACATTATGGAGCTAGAAAAAAAAATGTAAAGTTCATCTGGAGGAACAAAAGGTCAAGAATCTCAAGGGAAATCACAAGATATGGAAACAAACAAACACAGTAGACTGCTATCTGATGAAACGACAAACTACTAGGAAACCACTATGTGACAAAAAACTGCTAGAAAAACTTGAAAGCAGTTTGGCAGAAACAAGGTACAGACCAGTATGTCATACCTTCTACCAAAATAAAATGGATCCAACTGGAGAAATGACTTGGGGTGGGGAGGGGCTGGTAGTGATGGTAGTGGGTATTAAACAAATTAAAGGCACAAGGAAGGGAAGGCCTTTTAGATTTTTGGACAGAGGAAAAGTTCATGACCAAATAAGGGATAGAGGGGATCATAAAAGATAAAATCAACAATTTTAATTACATAAAATTTAAAAAATTTTGCAAAAATACAACCAACGCAGCTAAAATTAGATAAGAAAGTTAACTGGGAGAAAAGTTGCAGCAAGTTTCTCCAATAAAGGTCTCTTTCGAAGATATATAAGTAATGGATACAAATTTCTAAGAAATCATTCCTCAGTTGATGAATGGTCAGAAGATACGAACAGGCAGTTTTCTAAAGATGTCCAAGCTATCTATAGCCAAAAGGCAGAAAAAAAAGCTCCAAATCACTAATATGTGGAGAACTGCAAATTAAAGCACTCACTAGATTGGCAAACATAACAAACAAGGAAAATGACAGATGCTGGAGGGGCCTGCTGGTGAAGCTGTGACCTGGTCCAGCCATTCTAGAGAGGATTCTGGAAAGATGCCCCAAATCTATCACACTGTGCTTACCTTTTGACTTGGCAATACTACTACTAGGCCTATCTCCAAAAGAGAGCAAAGAAAGAAGAAAAGGATCCATACGGGCAACAACATTTATAGCTTTTTCTTTTGGTGATGGCAAAGAACTGGAAACTGAGAAGGTACCTGGAACGGCTGAACAAGATGTGGAATATGAATATATGGCATTTGGTCATGAAATACTACAGTCCTATAAGAAAAGATGAAGGGACCAGTTTCAGAGAACACTGGGAAGACTCAGATGAACTGATGCAGAGTGAGGTGAGCAGAACCAGGAGAACAATGTATACAACAGCAGTTAACACTGTAAAGACAAACAACTCTGAAAGACTGAAGAATTCTGATCAACGCAACATAACAATTCTGGAGAATGAAACATGCTACCTACTTCCTTACACAGAAGTGAAAGACTAAGGGCATAGATGAAGGCATATTTTTGGACATGGCTGATGTGAAAATTTGTTTTGCTTAACTATGCATATTTGTTACAAGATTTTGCTTTTCTTTTTTCAGTTGGGGGTAGGAGGAACAGAAAACAGTTTTAGTTAACTGAAAAAAAAAAAGGAAAGGAAAGGAAGAGCAGTGCCCACATACATCCACCAATCTGAAAACCATACAGTGTAACTACCTTTTAAGAAGAAAAGATGGAGAGTTAGGCTAGATACACTTTAAGTGATTTAGAACTAGTTCAATGGCTAGACTGAAAGAGCGGTTCAGTGTAAATTTGGAAGGAGGTCTCAAGTACACAGACCTCTGTACAACAGCCCTACACTACTGAACATTTTTTATTAAAGACTTGACTAACATCATAGACAGCGAAATGATCAATTTTGCTGAAGAAAGCAAACTCGTAGAGAAAGCTAAGACACTGGATGAGAGAGACAGGATTCAACAAGATCTCCACAGGCCAGAGCCCAGGGCTAAAGGTAGCAATATGAAATGGAATAAGGATAAATGCTAAGGCTCAAACTTGGTTGAAAAAACTTTACTTCACAAATTAAGGGAGAAAGCTGAAGGAGGCAAATTAGAATGCAATTTGTCTAAGAAAGATCTAGGGGTTTAGTGAACTGCAAGCTCCTTGTTAATCAACAGTGTGCTATGGCAGTCCAAAAATCTCCCGTGATTCTGAGGTGTATTAAGAGAAATGTAAGGGGCCAGCTAGGTGGCGCAGTGGATACAGCACCAGCCCTGAAGTCAGGAGGATTTGAGTTCAAATATGGCCTCAGACCAAACACTTGACACTTACTAGCTGTGTGACCTTGGGCAAGTTACTTAACCCCCAATTGCCTAAAAAAGAAAATTTAAAAAAAAGAGAGAGAGAGAGAGAGAGAAGTGTAGCTTCCCAGAATAAGAAGGGGATATCCCCTCTCCATACTAGCCTGGTCAAAGGACCCTGGGAATCTGAGGATCAGTTCTGGGTCCAAGCCAAAGAAAGGCTGATAAAAGGTAGACTGTCCAGGAGGCTAACCAGAATGGTGACGCATTTAAAAGGGTGAGGGAATTCCCTTCAACAGAGGTCTTTAAGGAAGGACAGAATGACCATCTGTCCAATGTCCTGTAGTGAGGATTCTTTTGTTGTTGCTTTTTGTTTTTACTTTTTAGGCATTTAGGGTTAAGTGACATGCCCAAGGTCACACAGCTAGTACATGTCAAGTGTTTGGTCTGAGGCCAGATTTGAACTCAGGTCCTCCTGACTTCAGGGCCGTTGCTCTATCCACTGCACTATCTAGCTGCCCCTGTGAGGATTCTTTTGTAGACGTGGCCTGGACCAGATGGCGGACGAGGCCCCTCCAAATTCTGAGGTCCTGGGACATTGTTTGTGATAATTTCTTGCACTATTTTATCAACTGATATTTAAACTTTTCCTGTTCCATCTCTAAGTTGGCTGTTGGGGCCACGTTGCCCTCCCCATAGACCTTAGGAATGCCTGACAGAGGGGACAATGTGATAGCAGCACCCCCATCCCTCCTTGTCTGCCAACCTAGCCCCCAGCCTGTGCTTTCAGCACCCCACCACTCTCCAAGGAGTGATCATCAGACTTGGGGGAAGTCAAAAGTGGTTCTTCCTCAGGAAAATGGTAGGGAATTCTGCTTTCTCCTCTATGCTCCAATGAAGCTCTCAATTGGGGTGTGGTTTCTTGAAATTAAGGCTTGGTTTTTATCTAAAACAAGCAATCCTTAAACACAAAATATTATGATTCTAAACGAGAGAGGACTTAAGTGGTAACCAACACAGAGCACTTACCATTAAAAGCTCCACAATGATGACAAGTGTTTTTTTTCTTGCATTTGTCAGAGATTTTCTTTTTCAGCCCTCTTTTCTGTAGATAAGTGAGACCAGGCCTTTTTAGGTAATCTAAAAATTGCTTCCTTTCCTCTTGGGACAGCATAATGTGGCAGCAAGTTTTGCAGATCATCTTTAAAAAATTAAGACAAAAGTAAATTTATTTAAAGAAAAAAGGAATGTGATTTCCTCAAAGATAAAATTATATTTATATAATAATTTCTATCAGATCATATTAATATAAAACATAAAAATATGTAATACATAATTAGTTCAAAACTTATCACCCTCTCGAGGAGATACTTTTTCCACTCAATAACACTTCCAGAATTTACAACCCAGAGACCTTTGCCACAGAAAATAACGTTCATCAATTTACCTGTAGAACACCTATGACAGCTTTGAAATATCCCACATGAAAACATGGCAATTCCAAGTCAATGTATCCATAATGCCCCAAACATTCTGCTAAATTCTTCCCACAGGTTTCACAAGGACGATCCTTCTCGCTTGTACCCTTTGAATAAAAACAGATACACATGAATCAGTGGTGACAACTGAAAAATAAATATGGTAAAGATCTCATGTTGGTTAACATTATAATCAAATATACCCATTTTCCTTTTCTAGTTCTGGCTGGACATTCTCACACTCCATTTTCCCTTGCCTTAGGGAACCCAGAATCTCTGCTCTGCCCCTTAGACCCACTCATTTGCCTTCTGCCATACCATTAGAACCTCCTTTTCATTTGCCTTCCAAACTTTTCTAGATAAACTGTCTTTCCTTATTACAATGTGAGCTCCTTAAGAACAGAAACTGACTTCTTTTTCTGTATGCAGAGAAAGCACTTGGCATATAGGATTTAATAAATATTTTTTCATTCATTCAATTTATGTGTTCAGTGCTATGCTAGGTGTTATGAGACACAATATTCACCAGCAAGAACTAGCACAGAATATGAAAATATCATTTACATTTATTTAGTGTTTGAAACTCTGCAAAGCCTAAAGGAAAGATGATTTCTAATCATTCTGAGCCTAAGATCTTTGATGTCTACTCTAACTCTATTTAATGGAAAAGTTGTGGAGATGTTAGAATATGGTAGAACATGGTGATATCTCTGTACCCCAGCCTAAATGAGCACAAGCTCACTTAAAATTTCTACAGTTTTGTACTGTGATGGTCCCACGGGGGTCAAGAAGGCCCCCCCGCACATTAAGTAAAATTGGTATATGTGGAGATGAAGGAAGGGAGGGAGAACTGCTGTTTGAGAAAGTCCAATTGTTATGTGATTTTTATGTCAGAGAGGAAAAGGAAGGGAACATCCTCAGGGAAATCAACAACAGTGGTCACTAGATCTCAAAGAGAAATTCAGATTAGGAGTTAAAGACCATCAGTCAGCAAGAATAGCTCCAAAATGTGTTCAATTTAGAATACGATGAGGGAAAGTTTACAGACTGATAGAACAGGTGGTGGGGACATAAGATAGCACCATTTCAAGAAGGGAATCCACCAAAGGTTCAAGGTAAACAGTTAGCCGAGACAAACTAATAAAGTCTTATTGATGAACCAGTGGGACCAGCACACCAATTGTGAAACAAGCTGACAGGAAATATTCTGAGCTGGGAAATTCCTGGAGGATGGTGTGACAGTGAAGTTCTCAACCACACACTGAATGGACAGAAGTCCACACCACAGCTGTCATTCTCAGAAGGGACACTGAACACTCTGACCATTTTTTACAAGCAAAATGGGTCTTAGAGGACAGGCAAGGGGGTATATGTGTGTGTGTGGGGGGGGATGGGGGAGTGTCTTACCATCCTATGATCAAGAACTCCATAAAGCAGGGGAGAGTGGTGATTGTCCTGACTATACAAGTTCTTGCTAACAACCTGGATGTGAGCCTGCTGGCGCATTTCTTCAGGTGACTTCATTCCAAAACAGATGTGGCTTCTAAAATAGAAAGGAGGTGAGAAATTATATTAGAATCATTTGCCAAAAAACAAAACAACATGCTTTTTTGGGATTGAACACTCAAATTCCTTTTGGTTCAGGAGACTTTAAAAAAAATGAAATGACAATCATATTTTCAATGTGACAGACACGAGTAAAAACACATTCCTACATAATTCTCTCACAAGAAACAAATGTTACTCAAAAATGCTCCTTGATCAGAGTAAATTATATTACAGGAAAAGGCACAAAAACCTATTACAGCAGAGGGAAAGAAGGGAGGTAGATGAGATTGTTTGAACCTTACTCTCATCAGATTTGGCTCAAATAACATAATCAGTTAGGTATAGAAATCTAACTTGCCCTATAGGCAGTAGGAGGGAAAAGGGGAAAGAAAACAGAGTGAGGATAGAAGGGAGGGAAGAAGTAGTAAGGGTAAAGGGGAAGAAAATGGAGGGGCTAATAGAGGGAGGCGGGACTCAGGGAGGTGGTGGTCAAAAGCAAAACACTAGTGAGGAAGGAAAAGGAGAAAGAAAAGCATAAACGGGGGGGGAAAGGATGGAGAGAAATACACAGATAGTAATCATAAATGTGAATGTGATATATGAATGTAATGGAATACTATTGTGCTATAAGAAATGATGAACAGGCAGACTTCAGAAAAACCTGGAAAGACTTGTATGGTCTGATGCTGAGTGAAGTGAGCAGAACCGCATTATACACAGTAACAGCCACGTAGTGTGATGACTAATACTGATAGACTTAACCCTTCTCAGCAATACAAGGATCTAAGACATCTCCAAAGATCTCATAATGGAAAATGCTATCCACCTCTAAAGAAAGAACTACGGAGTTTGAATGCAGATCGAAGCATACTATTTATTATTTTTTTTCTTCTGTTGTGTTTTGTTTCCTCTTTCTGGTGCTTCCTCCTATTGGTTCTAATTCTTACAACATCACTAATGTGAAAATATGTTTAATAGGGATGTATATGTATAGCCTATACCAGACTGCACACTGTCTTGGGGAGGGAGGTAGGGAAGGAGGGGGAGAAAAATTTAAAACTCAAAAGCTGATGGAAGTGATTGTTGATAAATCAAAATAAATTAATTAAAAGGAAAAAAATGCTCCTTGAGCAAGGCAACTGACATATAGGGTTAAAACAAGCCCCAACGAATCCTTGGAAACAGATGCATCTGTCTATAAACAGTAAGATGATGGGACTTTATGAAAACCTCAGTTCAATACCGCAATCTACAACAGTTAATAGTGTGGACAGCTTTCTTATTAAACAAACCACAACTTTTTATAATACCTTAAATCATGTTAATCAACTTAATAATGAAAGCAGAATTTAGCCCTAAGGGCCAGGTACCAGGAACTGAATTCCAGCTGTGTGATAGGCTAATAAGCAACTCTTTCACCTGAGTACACATGTTTGAGGCCTTAGCTTATACCATTCATTCCCTTTCTCACATTCTGTGTTGGAGCCAAACAGGAACAGTAGTCATCATATGACCTTCTTGTGCCTTGTTGTCCCCACATTCAAGCACCTGGGCACACAGCTCCCCACTATTTCCACACTTCTGCCTGCTGAAAGCTTTTAGCTCCTTCCAGGATGGAGGAGCAAGGAGCTCCCCAATCTCTTGGCCCTCTCCACCGGATCTCTCCTGTGTTCTTATATTCTAACCTCTATTTGGCTTACTTGCGTAGACGTGTAGGACTGCACTTCCTCCTAAATCATAAGCTCTCTGGAGCCTGATCCTGTCCTAGAATCAGAGGATCATAAAGATCTGGAAGCAGCCTTGGAAAGCATACAACTGCCCCTCATTTTACAGTTGAAACTGAGGCTAAGTGACTTGCCCAAGGTCATACAGCCAGTAAGTAGCAAAGTAAGGGCTAGGGCTCTGGCTCTTCGTCCTGGGCTAGTTCTGTGCAAGCTTCCCCATCACCTTGTTCACTCTTCTACTCCCAGTTCCCAGCACAGGGCTGGGAATATAGTAGGTGCTTAAGAAATGCCCCTCCCAATCACTAGGACTCAGCAGCATGGCCCTGGATTCCCTTCTAGCCTCTGACTATGAACTGACCAAGAAGCATTTATTAAGTGTCCACGGTGTTTGACGCTCTTGGCCAGACTTTGAGGGTACAAGTATACAAGGCAGTCCTTGCCTCCCACCAATCCTACACTCAGCTGTCAAACTGGCCTTGTTGAAGGGCAGGCTGGACCCTGTCACTCCAGGGCTCCCTAGTTCCCCCCCCCAATCCAGTCTTCTAACCCCTTACTGTCCCCCATACCCTGCAGTGCAGGGACACTGGGCTCCCAGCTGTTCCATGAACAAGACTCTCCATCTCTGGAGTCTGAGAGTTTGCACTGTCTGTCCCCTGCCCCCACCTCCTACCCCTCTCAATCACAGTGCCTTCCCTCTGTTCATTATTTACTATTTGCCCCCACATCTGTTTGCGTGTTGTCTTTCCCGTTACATTGTCAGCTCCTTGAGGGCAGGCACCGTCTTTTGCTTCTTTTTGCATCCCCATCACTTAGCACAGTGCCTGGCCCAGAGCAGTAGCTTAAAAAACACCGACTGATTTATCCTGTATATGTGGCAACCGGATGGTGAAAAGTGGATAGAGGGGGCAGCTAGGTGGCGCAGTGGATAGAGCACCGGCCCTGAAGTCAGGAGGACCTGAGCTCAAATCCAACCTCAGACCAAACACTTGACACTTACTAGCTATGTGACCCTGGGCAAGTCACTTAACCCCAATTGCCTTAATTAAAAAAAAAAAGTAAAGTGGATAGAGCACCAAACCTGGGAGTCAGGAAGACCTGAGTTCAAATCCGACCTCAGACACGGTGAACGTTTGCCTCAGTTCACTCATCTGTAAAATGAGCCAAAGAACGAAATGGCAAACCCCTTCAGTATCTCTGCCAAGAAAACCCCAAATGGATAAGTGAGAGTCAGACTCGACAATAAACACACGCAGTCGCAGTCCGCACACAGCATCTACCTGAGCGTTAGCACGCTGTGTCCAACGTTGGATTGGGCGCTCCCTGAGGGCAGGGGCCGCCTTCGGCCTCTTTTTGCATCCCCAGCACTGAGTGCGGCGCCTGGTACACACTCGGCACTTAATAAATGCTTCTCAAGCCGGGGACCACGACTTTAAACATGAGAACACCGGTGTCCTTGGAAATCCTCCGCATCTTTTACGTTTTATTCTACGCACCTGAGGTCAGGGGCCTGAGAAGGCGCCCCGGCGGCTCCGGACACGCTGGGTGTGGACAGTCTGGGGCCGCGACGTAGCCTCAGCGCTTTACAAATACCCCGGATCCGCCCGGCTCAGCAGGCGCCTAATAAACGTGGGTCGTGGACTGACGCCAACCCCGAGGCATGGGGGGGCGCCCGTTATTACTATCATGCCCATTTTACAGTCGAGGAAACTGAGACGCAGAGCGGTGCCCCGGACTTGTCCAGAGTCACCGCTGCCAGTGTGTCTGAGGCAGGATTCGAACTCAGGTTTTCCAATCCCTTCCCCCCACTTCCCAACTGCTGGATGATAATTCCCAGAGCAAGGGGGAGGGGCGGATAACAACATGCCCACGCTGGAGAGTACTTCCTCTGGGTCGCAGTTTCCCTAGGCTGTAAAATGGGCATAACGCCATCCGACCGGGCATCTAGTTCGCTGGATAGTGGTGAGGAACGCGCTTCGGAGACCCGAAAACGCCACAGGAAAGGGGTGCTCGCTAAAGACGAGCCTCCGGGCGCCCCCCCATCCCATGACCTCTGACCTCCACCCCGCCCCCACCCCCGTCTCACATTTTCTTGGCCACATCCGTCTCGCGGAACTGCTCCTTCACCATGGCGGCGGCTGCCTGGCGGCTGCTCCCGGAGACTCCTGGGGCTGGGGCCGGGGCTGGGGCTGGGGCCGGGGCCGGGGCCCCGGGATGCAGGGAGAGGGCGGGTCAGCCGCACGCGGGCATCCGGCTCGGCCTCGCTCGCGCCGTCGCCGCACACCCAATTCGGCTTCCGTAGCGACGGCCTGACGGCCACTTCCTCTTCCGGCAGCCGAGCAAGAGGAGAAGCGCGGGCGCAGAGGCTACCGCCGTCGCTCACCCTTCTCTACACCTCCACCTGGTGGCGCCTCCGGGGAAGTGCAGCTACGGAGCTCCCTAATTCTCCAGGAACGCCTCCCGCAGGCTCCTCCTGCTGCACCAGGCATGAGAGTGCAGCCATGCCAAGAGGGGCCATTGCGTCAAAGTGGAGGCCATCCAACCCAACTCAACCCAACCCAACCCAACACCTACTATGTGCTTAGGCTGAGGATACAATTAATAAAAATGAAAGTCGACATGAAAGGGTGGGCAGACACCAGAGACACCAGACACCTTGTACCAATCAGTTGAAACCAGGCAGAGTGGCAGATGCAGACCCATTGATTCAGCGAATAGGGAGAAATTGTAACCTATGAACATAATGGGATATTAGTGTAACATGAATGAATGAATAAAATTAATGGAGATTAAGCACTGACTGTGTGCAAAGCATGGGGCTACAAATAGAAAAGGGAGACATTTCCACTGATAAAAGCAATCAGTTTCTCTTTTTGAACCAGCTGTCAGTGCCAAGAACTTTGGTGGCCAGAACTTTCTTTTTTGGGTCTTCAGTAATTGTGGCTGCAGCACCTGGAGGTTGCCAGAATGCAGCTGGGATTCCTTCCCAGGATCATGACCAAAGACTTGAATGGAAGGATGGCTAGCCCCAAAGCTCTTGGGGATAAGGGTCCAAGACAGGGTCCCAGAAAGAATTAATTAATTCATCCCAAGAAAGGGAAAATGTGAAAAATCAAAAGGCTGGAGGTGAAGACTCATGAAATGATGGAACAGAAAAAGTAGAATAACAGAATCTTGATGACTGCTAGGGAAATAATAAATATAACAGGAAAAATATGAAGGAAAATAATTTAGAAGGAAATACAAAAACAAAGAGGATTTTTCTTTTATGCATGGCAATGATATGAGATAATATGTGTATAAACACTAGCTATTATTACCTTTTGAAAGTCAAAAATGTCTCCCCCCCTTCCCTAGGCAATGGGGGCCACACAGTTAGTATCAAGTATCTGAAGCTGAATTGGAACTCTGGTTCTTTTGACTCCAGGACCAGTGCTCTATCCACAGTACCACCTATCTGCTTCCCCACTCCTTGTTTTTTTTTTTTTAACAAACTGTACATAATAGAAGTTTGTACTTTCAGATATTCTTGTTTGTATATGTGATGGCTATTGATAATGTCTTGCCCTCAGCAAGGCTAAATAAATGCTTTAATCTAATCTAATCCGTATATTAATTTTGCAAAGGACTTTATCTTCTTTGCTGTAGTAGCAATAGGTATTACTATGCCATTTCTCAGATAGTAGTATAGCAGGCACATCCAGGCTGATTGAACACTTTGCACATTATCTCTTTGATACATGTGGACCGATCAGCTTATTGATAGATTGATCATGTTGATGAAACAGATTAGAGAAGGGGCTTGTTGTAGCCTGTAGTAAGCCAGGAAAAGGCTGAGGTGGGATTCAGACCTCGATCTTCCAAATGTCAAGTCCAACCCTCTTTCCACCTTTTCCATTGTCTTCCTGTGGCATATTATTATCTAGAATAATTTTTTAAAAAGACAAAAAACAGAAGGTTCAACCAAACTCCATTAGGAAATCAGGATTCAGGGAGGCTAGAATTTGAATTAGAATGAAAAGTCTTCATTAGCATCTTCATCATGCAAATGAAGGGTTTCTGGCATACTGAGGGAGCTAAGACCCCGTCCTCTTGGAACAGCTTTTCAACTAAAGTCTTTCAGTCCCAGACAGAGAGGACAAGGTAATATGTGATGGGACATGTACACCCACCTAGGGAAGATTTACAGCGTGAATTTTAAAGGGTGGATTTTCATGGGGCTCTTTTTGGTTAGCTTGTTTTCTCTTAAACTGCATTCCCTCACACCAGTTCTGTGTTAGCTTTGAGGGCAGCGCCATGGCTAGAGTGAGCGTTCACCCACCCGTGCTGAACAGAGGGAGCAGGGTAATGGAGGAGGGAAGTCTGAACTGGGAGTCTGGTTTGTTGTTCTATTCATTGGTGTGTGTGATTGAATTCAATTCAGTGCAGTTTATTCAATGAAGATAGGTCCAGAGATAGAAGGTCAAAAAATGAAACATTTCTACCCTCCAGGAGTTAATCCAAACCAATTCAATTCAATTAAAATTAAATTAAATTAAATTAAAATTTATTAAGCAGATACTCTGTGTCAGGCACTGTGCTAAGCACTGGGGATACAAAGAGGCAAAAGTCAATCCTTGCTCTCAGGGAATGTAACCCCTTTCTAACTCCACTGAGCGATGTAATGGGAACATAGACAAGTAAATACAAAGTAACTTTAAGAGGGTGGTCCCAGAATCCTTCAATGTAAGCCTCAGTTTCCTTATCTGTAAAATTGGGAGAATAATCCTCAAAAAAATTTTTTTAAAGTAAAAGAACTATGAAATGGGAACTATGGTGAAGGAGGATCAACAATAATAACATTCATATAGTGTTTTTGAATTTAAAAAAGCACCTTACATACATTATATCATTTGAGACTCACACCAACCCAGGAGAAATATGAATCCCATTTTACAGATGAGGAAACTGAAGGTCCGAGAGGTCCTTGTTTCTCCTTTGTGTGTTGCCCCACTAGAGTGAAGATCCTTAAGGGCACCAACAGTCTCAATAAATGTTCTAACTATGCTTATTATTTTACTTCTTCTAGGCCTTGATTTCCTAATCAGTAAAAGCTGGGGGGAATGGATAATAATAATAACAACAATTAGCATTGATATAGGTACTGTAAGGTTTGCAAAGTACAAGTCATCTCATTTGAACCTATGAGGTAGGTTTGTTATTCCCATTTTACAGATGAGGAAATTGAGACAGACAAAGGTTAAGTGACTCACCCAGAGTCACACAGCTATTTAAGTACTCTATCCAGCACACCATCTTACTGCTCTAATCACCTTGATATTCATGGGGGCAAAACAAAGCTCAAAGGTTAGTCCAAGTGATCCCTAAGCTGTTCTAAATCTTGCAGTCCTAATGGCTCTAATGGACTGCCGTGGAATTGGAATCAGAAGACCAGAATTCAAATTCTAAGTCTTAACTTACCTTAGGTAAGTTAAGTAACCTCTTTCAGTCCTAGTATCTCACAACTCTATTTATCCAGGCATATAGCAATGATGCTACCAAGCAGCTGCTACTTCTTTTTATTATTATTATTATTATTATTATTATTATTATTATTATTATTATTAATTTATTTTGATTTATCAACAATTACTTCCATATGCTTTTGAGTTTAAAATTTTTGTCCCCCTTCTCCCCACCACCCTCCTCAAGACGGCGCACAATCTGATATAGGTTATATATATACATTCTTGTTAAACATATTTTCAGGTTAGTGATGTTGTAAGTAAAAATTAGAACCAATAGGAGGAACCACCAGAAAGAGGAAACAAAACTCAACAGAAGAGAAAAAAAATAGCAAATAGTATGCTTCGATCTGCATTCAAATTCCATAGCTCTTTCTTTGGATGTGGATAGCATTTTCCATCACGAGGCCTCTGGAGATATCTCAGATCCTTGTATTGCTGGGAAGGGTTAAGTTTATCAATATTAGTCATTGCACAACGTGGCTGTTATTGTGTACAATGTTCTCTTGGTTCTGCTCACTTCACTCAGCATCAGACCATACAAGTCTTTCCAAGTTTTTCTGAAGTCTACCTGCTCCTCATTTCTTCTTTTCCTTTTTTTTTTTTATTTTTTGTCAGGCGATTGGGGTTAAGTGACTTGCCCAGGGTCACACAGCTAGTAAAGTGTTAAGTGTCTGAGGCCACATTTGAACTCAGGTCCTCCTGAATCCAGGGCCAGTGCTTTATCCACTGTGCCACCTAGCCACCCCTCCTCATTTTTTATAGCACAATAGTATTCCATTACATTCATATACCACCACTTGCTCAGCCATTCCCCAAGGAGCTCCTACTTCTTAGGACTGTTTTGAGGAAAGTGATTTGTACACCTCAAAATGTCATACGAAAAACCAAGAAAAATAAAGTGAAAAAAATACGCTTCAATCTGTACTCAGAGTTCATCTGTTCTCTCTCTGGAGGTGGATAACATTTTTCATCATGGCTCTTTTGGAATTGTCTTGGATCATCATATTGATCAGAGGAGTTAAGTCTTTCACAGTTGATTAGTGTTAAAATATTTCTGTTACTGTGTCCAATATTCTCCTGGTTCTGCTTATTTTACTTTGTATTAGTTCATAAAAGTCTTTTTTTAAAATGTGATATTTATTTGTTGAATTTACACGTGAGTTCATTTACAAAAGAAAAGTTACAGACAA